CATTGAGACATGTTGGGATTTGGATTTTGGGGATTGGCACAGGTCACAAAAGTGATAATTAGAATTTGTTGTAAAGATGATTTATCATGTCTATCATTCTGCTTTAAAGGAGTGGGTCACCCATGAATGCTGATGAAATTCCAAGGATTTGATCCCTTAGGATTCGTTGCATCTGCTGCCCTTATACATGTAGGAAATTGCTCAGGGCAAACATCTCATTAATAGTGCTGAAATATTTTACCCAACTTCCTAACCTTTATCAGCAACACATTAAAAGTCTATTTAACAAATGTGATGATTTCTAAACATACTGTTGCTGAGACCAAAATGAAAGGATGTACATTTTTGTAAGTCTTTCTTACTGGAAATAACGTATAAAAAGCTATCTGTATGCCATTGGGTAATTTAGCTAGGTACAATGAAGCTGATGCTTTTCTAGTGGCAATATTAAAAGCGTTTGGTGATGTTAAATTAAAAAAATTAAAATGCTTCATGGTGACAAATGAAAAGTTTATTGTGGTTTAGTCTATTTAAAAACGCACCTCTATACCAGTATGATGCGTCTCGTAAAACAGTAAATCCGAACTTGACTAATGAATGACATTCCGGCCACCAGTGAAAAATAAACAGAATTGCCACCATTCCATCCATTCCAGGACGCTCCACTGATGCTCCACGAATTTTACTATGTAGAGGATTTGGTGTTTAATCAGAAATAAAGGAAGCTTTATATCGCAACGGATTGTCTAAGGCTTCATTTGTTGTTACTAAAACATCTACAAGTCTCCATTTCCATTATTATTCCCACCAGTGATCCGCTCCAAAAACGCAATTTAGTGTTGAACAAACAATTGCTGAAGGTCGGGGGGACAGAAGACTGACATTTACTAATGAAAGACAGTTAGACGCAATAGTTTGCTCAGTTGCCCGTGTCCAGGCAGCGTGTGGATCTCTGCAGTTAAGCTTTTCAATTTCCATTCCGATTTGCAATTCATGAAGAGGAAGCCTGTTTGCTGTCCACGAGCCTCCATTCCATTTCATGTCACCCTAATCTCATGGTTTTAACCCACCACTGCTCGGTTGGTTGCACTCAGTGCTTCACTGCTACTGGCATTTAAACATGGCAGCTTAAACATCCCACACTTATCAACAGCGACACTTTTACAACGTTATATTGGCATGTTCGTTTAAACTGTTGAACGTTAATAATAGCAAACGACCTCTGACCGTATTGGTTTTGCATGTGCATATGTCCGTGTAGCTCGTAAATCCCATTCACATCTCTTTCCTTCCGTTTTAATAAAACAGGGTATTCACACACAATGAATTGTCTTCCACTTTTTTAGTTGTATTTTTCACAACTCGCATTCTTCACAGAGCAGTATTCTTAAGTGTAAGGCACAATTCCTTGTCAGCGCTGTTGCTTTCCGAACCAGAGAGACTGTGTATTTTACACGTATTTAACTAACCAGATGTTGACGTGTGCTGTTTTTTCAGCTTTTAGTTCCTTGTGAATAATTCTGTTTTGATATTGAGCAAGTTAAAAACGATGGTTTAAAAACTGTTGGTAGCACCCACTTGTCAATCGTTCAGAAAACTCTTCTCCGACCACGCAGGGACATTCAAGATCACGATCTGAAGTGCTTTATATAAACATGGATAAGCGCATCAGATGGTCAAAACACCCGAGTCGACCGACGTTCCAGCACCAAGGACAGCGGTCGAACCCCAGCTTCCATCTGTCTCCTTGTGCCTAGCACCTAACAAACTGCCTGCCATTTAACACTACATCAAACTTTATTGACCCCTTGACACGAGGAAGCTAACCGTATCCAAGCGATTACAGGCGATTAATTACTTCGCTTCGAAAAATGGGTTTGTGAATTAAAAACTGTTCATCCATTGAGGATCACTGTTTTCAGGATTTATTTAGAGAAATGTATTTATTAAAAATTAACTAACCTGTAATAATATGCGTCAACAAATAAGACCAAAGCTAAAGTAGGTCGAATTAAACATCACTTTGTTTTTTAAAGCCTAAATCATTACAGAAGTACAATAATTACAAACCTGCCCATGCAGCTCCAAGATCTTCATCACTACAGCCAGACATTTAAAATGCTGTGCTGTTCTCAAAACCCTGAATGGCAAACATGTATTAAATCTCACTAACGAGTGTTTTATTATTTATTAAAGAGAGAAAAACTGAGACAGGTGGTAAACATCGTTAAGAAGGCAGAGCATTGGTATTAGACTTTATATGTAGGGTTTTTGTTTTTAATCAATACCTTCTTAAATCCTTAAAATAATGCTTCATGTCTTAGTTTGTGGAAATCGTTTTTTTTTTTTCAATTAAGTAACTGAGTGCTTAGGCACACACACAAAAAATGCAAGACCTAACGCTTAGCTGCTCGAGTTCACAGTAGGACTTGAAAAACAGAAATATCTCAAACAGAAGGGGGCGCCCTAAACGCAACATAAACGTCCGTTATAAATATTGCCCATTACATTTTGTTTTTCCTGCAGTACCCAGTACATTTTTAAGATTGAAAGTGTTAATTTTTTAATATATAAAGCAGCAATAAACAAATCAAAACTGTGGATCTTATATAGAACTCGTACTGTGTGAAAACGGTTGATGAAAAAAACGACTTTGTATTTATAATTATATGTATTTATGTAAATATTGCATTATATACATTACAACCACATACTTTGGAATTGAAGCTCGTATTTTGCCTAGATATTAACAACAGTACTAAATAACGTTTGCATCCGTACAACCTGTTTAAACACTGTTATTATTAACGACGTATTACACAATGCAGATGTGTATTTATGTATATTAATTTGTATAGAGAAGTCTGTGTTTGCAATTTCAAAATAACTTTTTCCCCACTTTTTGACTTAGTTCCGAATAATTGTAGTACTGTATGTTCAAGAACTCTTCTTGCTTTATGACAGGCCCTAGACGGAAATGCGCAAACCACCCTGTTTTCAATACCGTGTCAGTTTCTTTTACTAACAGATATTATATATGTTGCACTGCACAACAATATGAAAGTTCTTCTATATTGTTTTGTTCATTTCGCTGTGTAAAATTTATAAACGTCTTCCCATTCGATTAATTGCATAACCATACAAAATCGCAGTTTGTCTGGAAATAAAGATTGGTGTTTTATTTACACTATACACGATACATTATTTATACCAGTATTCCTTTTTTCTACATCGCTTTACAGTGAAGGATTTTATAAGACAGCTGTTGTGTTAATTTAAAGCCAGAGGTTAAAGAGGATTTTCTTGTAAAGCATACACAACCATTTCCAGATTTCCTCAAGTAATAATGTTAGCATCAATTAAAGAATTTACCTCTACAATGGTAGGAGGGCTAGCATAAATTTGTCTGTGGTTGTAAGCTAAAGATAGTCTATTTAACTAAAACAAAATCTAAGGAAATGTTACAAGTCGTTTCAATGATTATTACAGATGTAAAATATAGAATCGTTTAATGCAAAAATATAAAATAATAAACAATAGCTTTCACTATTTTCTAAAATACTTTTCAAGATAAATAATTTTAAATGATTCTAAAAGGTAATCAAACTAGACTCATATGAATCCTTCTTAGATATTATAGGATGATAGGACTGTCATATCATTTTTGTTTTCATTGTTAGGATTGAGATTTTATGAGTGTGAGTGTTTGAACATGTAATACTATGAACGTTGGAATACAATATGAGAAAATGTCTCCATGAAGACAAAAACCTCTAACAGAGATGTGGGGATATCCCCAAGAGGAAATAAACCAAATTGCATCTTATTTTAAATATTAATAAATAAATACAAATACGTGTTTCGGGTATGTTTTCACCCAGTGTGGAGTTTCATTCAAGAAGAGTTTGGAATTTTAACTAAAATCAACAAGAGTCAAAGGGAAGTCCCTATTTCTTATTTAATCATAGAAGTCATAAGTTCAATTGTAAATCACAGCTCTGCAATACTCTTTTTAAAACTGTTGTTAAAACTGTTGTAAAAATGTATTTATTCTTACATGAATTTCAGACAGAGGATATGAAAATACTAAGGTAAGTATTTCTAAAAATACAGGAATTAGAACAGTGCAACAATGCAGCCCAAAAGGTATTACCTTGTCTGCTTGAAAAGTATGTTTATACTTCAGGACACCTGCCAACATTGAACTTGAAGGGATTCAAGTCCTGTATGTTTTGTATACTATATTTAACATTCTTCTTTGAAGTCTAATTTCTTTCAATTCATCATAAAATTAGTTAATGTCCTTCTTATGGAACTACTCACCACTGCTTTAATGATAATTAAAGCCAAACCCCAAAAGTGTCTTTTTCTGTTCACAGAGTAAAGGAGATGATAATACCTATCGATTAAATGATTGCAGAAAATGGGATATGTGATGTTTATCATTAATCGGTAATATGTAATTTGATTATTGTTATGGATAATTGAAAATGTCTATACTGGAGAGGACACACCGATCTACACACAAGCAGAAATGTAATTTAAAATTGAACATCTCATGGCAATTACCAACACTATTTATAAGCAACAATCACTAGGAATTAGACTGGTGTTCCTAAGCACTGGTCCTTAACAGCCGCATAACCTTCTAATTTCCATACCACCTGAGATTTTAATTAAGCAATCAAATTAAGCTTTCACACAATTAAACCAGTTAAGTCCTTCCCAGTTCTAAAGCAGGTAATATTTCTAAGAGACGTCAGAAATATCAACACATTGTGATAACTGTGGACCTCAAAAACCAGAGTTAAGGAACATTGTTAGATTGAAGCCCAAGTATATGTAAACAAAAAGAAGCCTCAATTACATTTAAGGGAAATGATCATTTTGAAAAAAAAAAACATTTTAGAAATGGAGCTGTTACCACTGCAACATATTGGGCTGTCATGTAATGTTGGGTAATTGTATACAAATATTCCACAATTAATGCATAAGAAAAATGCCTTAAACTTATTTTTTATTTTTGACAAATAACTTTAAGAAAAACAAAGGTGAAATTTGTCAAAGAATAACGAAATTACAAAATTATTTCAAGTCTTGTTTTAACTTCAGTCATTTTGGTATTTTACTGAATCATCTTTGGTGATTTTTGTACTTTTCCACGGTTAACAGGTTATCTGTGGTATTGCAGATAACATATAGTGCTTTGAACACTGTGAATTATTTTAACAAAAATATATATGAATTATATCAGCCAGCTACATTTTTAAAAGCACACCATAAACATTTTTATGTTTATAAGATAATACTTATAACGTCTTTCACTGAGTATCTCATGTTAAACAGACGTTTGTTCTCTTTTCTTAAATTTTGATATTTTTTATTTTAAAAGTTACAGAGGCTTGAGTTCACATTCATTTTCCATATTCCAGTAAAAATACCCTTAAAAAAATCAATGGTTCTCAGTTTAGCAATCTTAAGGAATATTTAAATGGGAACAAATACAAAAATATACTTCAATTCAAAGAGCAACATAACACATTATATAAGATAGAAATGATATAGATATTCATGTACAAAAAGGTAAGAAATCATGCCTTGAAACTGCAACTAAGAAATCCTGCATATCCTAACTGAAACACAGATAGCAGATTTATTTTTAAAAATGTTACTATCAATCTTTACTTATTTCACACTCGTTTGTTTGCAGTGTAGGTACAGATTTCAATGACATTACAAGCTTAGTCAGCTTCTGTACATTTTCAGAGGCCTAACAAGGTTGTGCTAGAACAAATTAGCTTTTAATTCCATCCAGAAGATCATTTATCCTAAATCCTAAAGAACATGTAATAAATCTAGGTTTGTTTCTGTTACATAAGATTGCCCTGAAAGCAACATAAATTCTGTTAAAAGTGCCCGGATAAAAATGTCTTTTGATTCAATGAAGCGGACTTCAATAAAGGGATATACCACAGATTGTATAGTTTAAAATACTACAAAAATTTAACTGTTAAATCAAGTATCAATCTGTAAGAAAATCTGAACACACAGGCAAGATCAGAGGGAATTCAATCCACTTTTTGTTTATGTAAACCTGACCCATCTTTCTCCACAGTCCATCGGTATTTGCAACATGCTGGAAGGCAATGACTGACCACCATGCCCATAACAGTACATAAAGATAAGGTCTCCTACAGTCGGTGAATTGCTTGTAGCGCTAGTACATGCTGCAATGTCCTGTTCATGTTTCTTTTTCTTCACTTTCTGTCTTCCAGTGTTGTCTCTCTCATTTGAGGCTATCATCCCCCTGATCAAGTGGTCCTAAACATTTCACAATTTTGGTAAGAACTGTTGAACTGTTTAGAACCACTGCACCAGAGAGACAGAAAATCCAGCTACTCTGGACAGACTCACAGGTTTATGGTCTAGGTTCCACTTCAAAGGTCCCTGGTTCAAAACAATGGTTCGAGCAAGCGTCTGTACAAAGAAACAAAACAACAGAAGAAATGTAAGCTCATTTTCAGGAACTAAGCAGGCCCAAATCTCCATTCCTTCCTACAATTGAGAACCTAAAAGCTTCACATGCAAGCAAAAATAAATTGTACAAAGAAGAACACTGTGCTCTTTAGTGAATAGAAATATATAGAATTTCAGAACTCTGTGATTAAAAAAGAGTTTAAATGTGTTGCTTTGCCCCAACAACTTTTTTTTAACAACTATTTATAGTTTTCCCAACCTTCAAATTTATTTAAAGCATTTACCTTGTGAAGCAGAAGAAAAATCTTTTTTGTGTGCTCTCTCATCTTGCTTCTGCTTCTTGTCCCTGCAACTCTTCTTTATATACAGTATCCCTGTTGGTAGGCAGAACACTTTACTCCTGTGATCAGGGAAGGAATGAAGTTCTTGTCCAGCTGGACCAGTTCTTCGGGGTTCCATCTGAATTGAGGGCTTCTTGAGGGGAGCTGGGAGCGGCAGAGCCGAACAGGTGAAACCAAACAACTTAAAGCACACCCGTCGGACAGGTTTGGAGTGAGACCGCTCCTTTGCCTGGATAGGCCCAAGACAAACTCCACCCATGTGGGTGGCATCAGAGGGTGAAAAGACTGAGCCAGATAACTAAAGTTTTCTGAATACTATGGAGGAAAAAAGAAAGAAACTATTCATTTCTAAAAAAGGCCCCGCTCATTCACTAAAACAGAAAATGCAAGAAGCCAACCTGGAACCAACCAACTTTTCCTTTTCGTTTTTATACATTAACTTTAGCTGACCACTTCTATATAAACCAGTACAGGCCTAACTAGAACTTTACGACATTTAATTTATTTTAGGGTGTGTTATGGCTTGTTTTAACACCTTGAATAAAATCATTTACATTTGACATTCAAATAATTATTTGGGTGCTAGTTTACCTTTACTGATTTGAATTTATTTGATAAATAAAAATTGTTTATTGTGAGATTTTTGGTAATTTACTAGGTCATTTAGTCTTTTACACTAGGAGAACACTGATGAGTATCAGTAATGCTGTTAATCATGTGTACTGTTTGATTATCTTCAGAAGCCTTTTAACTATACAACAAGAAATAAAATAAACAATGAAAGCATTATGATTGCTTGTTCTGTGATTGCAGTCTTTCATCTTTCAATTATCAGTGATACTCAGTAAGGATGCATTCCAAGTGTGAGGGTAATTTTTTTAAATATTATTCCTATGGACCAGTATGATGAATACTTGCAAAAAAAGAAACATTTCCATATGACTTCATTTGTCCAAATGTAGTTTTCAACCATTAAATAAACAATTGAACATTTTTGAGTAATTTTGTGACATTATTTCAAGAAAGGTGTTCAAATAACATATTTTTTATTCATTCATATTCAGAGTATTTTACATTATTTTTAAATGGTATGCTTTCCCAGATGCCAGGCAAGTACTGTACATACAAACAAGCTCTTTATGTCATACTGTACCAGTCGAACTTCCAGGTTGTACAGAGGAGCTACTAAGATTTGTGCAAAAAAATAATTTTGCAGGCGGTTGCCATTGGGGAGGGTTAACGCCTACTGAGAGCTTGTATGGCATTCTATAGTTATATGTTTTCTTATGTGACGATGCTGTACATTCTCATATCATACACATTTTTTATACCTTATGCTCCATGTGTCGTTCAGTTTTATCTCTGTGAATTCTGCATAATCTCTAAAGAACCACATGTATACTTTATATATACTTGAAATAATTAAAATTCAGTGATCTCTGTTGGTTCAAATACTCATCTGTTACATTTGAAGGCCTCTCGGTATTACTGTATACATTTGGATGGCCACATTTTCTTATGATATACAGTATGTTCCAAAGTTAAGCTTTTAATGATTATATTATAGAAATAACTGTGATGAAGTTTGAGAAATCTCCTCTAATGAGTTCTTGAACTGTTTATATCCATTTGAAAGTGCATCTATAATATATTACAGAACAGGAAATGTTTCATTTATAAACAATCACACAATCAGTCCTACAGCTATGTTCATGTGAATTAATACGTTAAAATGATCAACTTTGCTTTCACAATAGGACAGCATTTCATATTCATAAAGCTCTCTGTCCCTGTGGTTTGTTGTATTTGTCTAATGGGTCCAATTTTAGGTTTGTCTGCAGGTCACTGTAGTACAGAATAGCAGAGGGTTTTATATTCTTCAAACTGACTATCTTACAGCAAGCAGCAAGGGACTTCAATAAGCTAATGAAACTGACCTTCCAAACTGGAATTTAAAAATCAGGATTGTTGTTATTGGATTCAAGTATTATTCCATGTAACATAAAATGCATTTCCTGAAAATTTAGTTGTTTTGCATATAAATTGTCTTGTAATGATTGATTTCATACAATCATTTATTTTTAAAAATCAAAGCTCATAATTTTTAAATAAATCAACACTTTTGTAAAAGTATATGCTTCTGTCATGCACATAGTCACCGTAAGCTTTGCCTAGAAATATCCAGTGTTGTAAATAAGCAGTGACATGACAACTAATTTTGAAAATCATACATAAAAAGGTATATATATATAGTATATAGGTTAGGAAATTTGTGTTGCTACCATCAAAAAAGCATCAGGTGGTGCAACTTAAATAGTCATGTTTGGATATCCACAGGACAGAACTTTAGAAATTCTGAGCAGGTGTCACTCCAAGTACCAAAGCACTTTAAGAGACCAATAGTAAGATCAGGTCAAAAAGAATTCCTGATAATTTAACAATGTAAAATTGAAGCATTATGTGTGCATTTGGAAATAAGGCCTACTATCCGTCTTGTGAAAACGATTCACTGGGATCCTTAAGAAAAGAAGACTGAAGAAGGATTGTTCAGCTGCTAGTAACCAGATGAGTGAGAAAATAAATAACTCAATCCTAAAACTAAGAACTTGTCTGAAATGTCTTGCCCAGATGCATACTGCTTTTTATTTAGCTGAAAACACCAAATAATTGTAATATCAATCTAGAAATACCTATAAAAACTAAGAATTCTGCGACATGGTGACTAAACCTTTTGCAGCAATGTGAACGATCATGACTCAAAATCAGAGAAAAATCCTATGTGATGGTAATGGTCAAAACATATGAGGGTTCTAGTATTTGTTTTGTGGCTGTCTCTCTTGCTAACTTATGTCAAAATCTACATGAATGACTACATTAAGTTCCCTGGTTTAGTATGCAGAATCACTGCATAAAAAAGGTTCTCTTTTGTAATACATATTCTCAAACATTGCTGGTAAACTGCAGTTCTAGGAAGTCTGAACTGCTTCTTCAACTGCCAGGAAGTGATAGCAGTAAAGCCAGCTTCTCTCTCGGAGGTGACATTTACAGGGTTCTATAAAGGAGAAAAGTAATTGATTTGTTATTGAATTTCAACTAGACTTCAGATTTCTAATGGAAAAAGCAAATGCATTCAGTATTTTAATTCAATAAAAAGCCTGATGCTTGTTTGGAAATGTCAGGGATGGTAAAAGCTCAGCATATTTCTGGTGTTCAACCCATGTACTGTATGTTTGGATTTTACTTTGAAGCAAAATAAGGAAATAGTTCACAGTTTATTCTACCAGTTTCTTCGGTCTCAAATGTATTATTTTCATTTGTGGTTATTATTTTTCTAACCCTTTGTTTGCAATATATGAAATAAATTATTGTACAATTGATTTAAATATTTATCCAAATAAATGACATTTTTTGTAAGTTAAAATTATCTATGGTTAGTACATTGATTGTATGGGTACTTAATAACATAACATACAATACATACTTGCAACTTAAATGCAACAGCAAACTCCAGTAGCCTCCAACAGGCAAAAATAATAAATCTCAGGGGTAAAACCTAAAGTACTCCAGCCTATATTCTGGGTAAAAAGCAGTCCAGGAAGCCGCTAAAGCTAGGGGGTTTAGGAAAAAAAAACGCAGCACCCAGCAGAAGAGCACTGACTGAGACACCATTTTCTCCCAAAACGTCACTGGATGTGGCAGGTTTCCTGGCGGATGGACTGGACTGACTTGTTTCGCATACAAGAAGATGAACCTTACTTTGATAATACTTTGAATGTATGCTTTGAAGTATCGGTTGTTTCTGTCTGTTAAAATGATTTCCCTGTCTAAACTATCACTTCAGACAAAAAAGCTAAACAATGAAAGAGGAACAGTATATAACCTTTAAGACCAAATGCAACTTAATTTCTATCATTTGTGATTTGTTTAATCACAAGCATACAAAAATGGGATAGTGGATACTCAAATCCTCAATTCTAAGTGCTTACATACATATTTTTGGAGGCAAAAGAAATAATGATACAGCAAGGGATGGGTCATGCTTGTCTTTATTCATGAGTTTATTCACCTTGTGAATACATCATAAACATACTAATGCTATTACTACATAACATACACCAATATGTAGTACTTAGATAAAAAGACAGATTATTCCTTCAATATTTAGTTCAATCTGTGCTGAATGTAATATATCATACAGATAAAATAATAAAATAATACAATCATACACTCCAAGTGGACTCCTGCACATCAGAAACAATGTAGTGGGTAAAACAGAAAACGTTAACAAAAAGCCAAGTTAACACGAATCCCCAAAACAGCTATGTTGTAGAGTACTTGAGGAGACACACTAGAAAGTGTAGCATTATATAGTATATAATACAAACAAATGAGGTTTACTTGTTCATTTGTATCTATAAAGACCAAGTTATTATACTGTACATGTTCAGTTCATTGAGGTCTGTAAAATCGAAGCAGCACATTGACAGTACATTTCATGAATAATACTTTTTATTTTCTTATTGGACATAGAACATGAAAATGCTTACTTTTTTCACTTTTAACCTCCAATAACAGAACACGTTTTTTTTTTAAAAACATTTCACTTTTCCATCTTCAAAATGATAGTTTAAAGAGTTTGCTGAATTGAAAAAGCTTCCTTCATCGTATATATACACACTGTATGCTACAAAAAAGAGTAATTAAAATAATAATTAAAATAATCTCTACAGTACAAGTGATACCTACAAAAACATTCTAAAAACAATATGTATAAATAATTAGGGGAACATTTTATGAGGATTCAATATACTGTACTTTCAAACCAGAAAGGGTAAGTTATTTAACTAAGAACACTAAAAAAAGGAAACATTACAGGGCTTTTGCACCCAGGAAGTAGGAACAAAACTAAAACATTTTTAAAGGATTGCTATGAGGAATTCCTTTTCAGTCACCCAGAAGTGAACTAGCCAAAAAGACTCAGAAAAATATTATAAAATAATATGATGACGTTTTGGGGGAAAAGCCATACTTATGTAGCAATACTTTTGATTTACATAGCACTTCTGAAAATATACTGAGACCAGCTGTTAAAATGTGTACTGAACTCTGAGTCTCTTTTCAAAATTTGTATGAGAGCTAGCACGTACTGTACGTAGTGCAGAAGTAAAAGGTAGGACTTTATCATCTAAATACAATGTCATACTATATTCTCAAAAACAAGCTGTGGTACAAGAGAGATCACAATACACATACTGTAAACCACTGTGGTATGAGGAAGTCATACTGGCATAATTTTGGTTCAAATCTCTGCAGTACCCTTTTCCCTAAGAAGTTTCCATCTGATCAATGCTTGAGGTCATTTTGGACCCACCTTTCTATCACATCTCCATTGGAAAGAACCTAAGTGGAAACAGAAATAGAAAACTGTAACAGAACCTCATCATTTTGCACAGTTTCTCCACTAAATTATTATAAAGTGGTATAAGTCTGGATTTAATAAAAATAAAAATGATGATAATTATCAACATCAATTTTCCATATGCTGACACTTACGCTATACATTTACTAAACAATATTAATCTATTATTCCCACATCCTTCAAAGAAATGCACAAAGGTGCCAATTAATTCACATTAATCAAACACATTTTCAACCAGATGAATAACTCCATAATAACAGAAGTATACAAGCACAGCAAAAATGTAGATCCCATTATTATTGCATGAAGATAAGACATGCAAATTATTTCAAAGAAAGCTAAGTGAAAAGTTTCATTCACAAAAATTAAAAGAATATAATATTACAATACTACATAGCTTAGTTGCCAAGTCAATTTAGTTTTAAAAAAAATATCCTGAACCTTTAAATACTATTTGAAAAAAGCATATGTGAGACTTATTGCACTCTTTAGCAAGACTGTTAAAACTGTTATCATTCCTTCCATCAGGTTCTTGTAATTTAAATAACGTTTTTTAAAAGGCCACAGTAACATTATTAAATACTCTCATCAGTTAAACTCTTGTTTACTTAAATATTTATTTTGATAACATATGCAGAACCCTGCCATTATATATAACTAACCCAAAAGTGGTATGTATGTAGCACAGCACCAGACACAAAACAAAGAAGATATGAACAGTAGAATATTCTTGTACATTGTGCAGTGCCTCATGCAGAAGCTCGTACAGAAGGCTGATATTTTTATCCACAGTACAGAAGAGCAGTGAGGACAAGTGGGCACACTCTTTTTGGCATGGAAAGATTCTGTATGTTTCACTGAAAACTCCAATTGCTTTATTTTATTAACTCGTCATTTGCATCTCATAGATGCTGAAAATAAGAACAAGACAAAGTAATTTGAAGATATCTTAACAGATTTTAAGATTGGATTTCAAAACATTACTTGCAAGAAGGTTAGATTCTGTCCAGAGATGGATCAGACAGGACGCATAAATTAAAATATTAATTCCCTTAAAGATAATCATGGACAAAAATCTTTAACAAGTGAACACATTCTCTGAGATTCTCTTTCAGATTTTTACGTTTGTGTCAAACTATAAGATTTAAAGGAAATTCCAAATCAACTGTTAATAAATTTGATTAAATATCCTACAATTTTAAATAACATGATTTGATGTACATCTTAGAGGTTGAATCTTAAGGCTTTGAAGCTTGTGTGGCAATAAAACCATTTCTGCTTAAGAAATCCATCAATGTATCAGAGGATTACAACATTGCTACACTGGAGCAACACAAGATCTCTGGATTTTCAAATAGTTCAAGCTTTCAAGCTTTGTTTCGGTTCCCTTTTTAATAATTAGAGAGGTCGATTTCACTGTCCAAGGGTTGAGCGCTATAGAAGTAACTCTAAACCCCACCAGCTTCCCAGATGCATGTTCTTACTTGGGGCTTGAGCAGGTGTGCCTGCGTCAAGAATTCAATCACTTCCTTGTTTCCAGTTGCTAGAGCCTGGAGAGAAGAAAGGCAGAACAGCAGACAGAAATATTCCAGTTAGTCTGCACCCAGCAGAACACTGAAGCTGATTGTAACATCACATATTCAAAAAATTCTCAAAACATTCCAGACAATTAAGTGAGTGAGGGATAAAGCTTATTTGACAATCGTAAGCATTAAAAGAGCTAGAAAAGACCTCAGTGAACAACTGAGTTTTTGAACAGTTTATATTTCTGTAGCTCAAGCCCAATTAAGTCTCTTAAATATTTTTTAAAATAATTAATTTGCGTGCTTCGTTTTATGTTTTACTTGTAATGAATAAAATAAAATTGATAAAAATTTTCAATCGTGTTTCACAAAGTAAGGTGTAACATTAAATATTTGGCAAGAGTATAGCTACTGGTAGACGGGAGTTTCGGAATCATTTACCAAGATTAATGACCACTGACTATTTCAAAAGTTTAAAATCTATTAATCACATAAATACATTTAGTAAGGTTTTTTTTGTGCAATGGGAATTCTCTGATTTTAAGAGTCTTTAAATATAGTAAGGTAGATTACACACAAAAATTACAATTAAAACGGAATAAAAAGAAACATACCACTTCCAGTGGGGTCTGTCCATCATAGCCTGTCAAATCCATGCTAGCTCCAGCAAGACTCCAAATATTTAGCCCATCTAGGTCTCCACTAGCTGCCAGGCTGATACAAACACAATTGCTTATTTCATTTACTGTTCTGCTGTACTTTTGAACAACATGCACATACAACATAGCAACTTCAAACAGATTCAACCTTCCCATTGTAAATCTGACTACAGCATAAGTAAAAACTGTAGTTCATGTTCCAAATCATATGGCAATACTACATCTCATTTTAATAGGATCCAAGACCTGCAGTTCCTTCACTTGCTTCATTTCTTTTAAACAGAGAAAATATTGCTAAAGCACTCATGAATGAAAAAAAGTAATCATTTTTTACAGTTAGCATTTTTGTAAACAGTCAACTGTGAGACATATTTTATTACAAGATATAAGAATGATCAAAAAGATATTAAGAGACTGAATATTGCAGTGCCTTCTGAAAAAATCTGTTCTCAATTAGAATTTGAGAAAGACATGACACATAAAAACCCCATCTTAACAAATCTGTCTACACTGGCCCTTGCAGCATGGTTGGGAGGTATGCCACATATTTTTTTTTTTAAGTGTTGGATACTACTTCATATAAGATCAAGACTTGCAAAGCAGCATGGCTTGAAAAGCCACTTCACATGCTTGGCTTGAATAAAGAGATACGGATGAAGCAAATATTAGGATTTATATACTATATGTTTACAATATACTGTACATGGTGACCTTGTTATAAGTGATCAACATAGGCCCATAGATATAATTCAGCACATTAACTTTACACTCTAGATTTTATAGGTATAGCTGAAGTACAACTGCCTTTTTTGGTCTTTTTTGGTGAATGCATTGTACATGAACAGATTAATGTGTCCATGTGGTCTCTTAACTATGCGGTATGACTGCATTCCATGGTTTACATAACAGGTTGAACTAGACTCTACACACAAGTTGGGGGTTGGGAGGAGGGGTTGGTATGGTTCAGGACTGACACATTGCAAGTCTGGCCTTTTGCTTGGTTGAAACAGAATTACGCCAACAGAGAAATCTTCATTGTCTGGTTGGCCACCCGCACAGACCTTTCCTGTTTTACACAAACCACAGAATTAGGGTCTGTCACGTCTGTCCTATTTGTCTATCTTCCTTTTTGCCTATCTTTTCTCAAACCCCCCTTTTAAGGCTAGTCCTTAAAAGATTACTGAAGATCTAGTTATTGCTGTTCATGCTGGCATAAATCGTACAGTTTCCATAAAAAATGAATGCAAAGATCTTAGAAACAAACTGATGAGAAAATCCAAGTCTGTGGTTTACTCATGGATCTTGTCTACATCTTGTAAAGATGAACTTTAAATATAATATGTGCTTGAGAATGTCATGTACTAAAGATGAGTTCAGCTTTCTCAGCCACTGAAAGAATTGATAACAAATATTATAAAGATAAATTACATATGAATGAAATAGGTACTAGCAGAGTGCCAAAGATCTAGAGTCAAATATTTACAGAGAAATTTAAAAGAACATCTAAATTTAAATAGAAATAAGGACATTCTAAAGAAAATCTGCAAAAGAAATCTGCAAACAGTAGAGTCAAAATGAAATTCCAAGGGAAACGAAAATTTGAAAGAACCAGATAATGAATTGCTTAATTGCTTAAATGTAAGTAGTATTAGGGTAAAAATGCAATAAACAGTAATAAAATTTAATTGGAATCACAGAAACATAGCAAGACTGAAGTATATAGTTTTGTGGTTACAAAAATTCCCAGAGAGATGTGAAAGATGAAAGAGGTGGAGTTGTGCCACTGTATACTGAAAAGAAGCCCAAGAATCAGAGGTCATAAATTCTGTTATATGCATCAGGCATTTAAAAAAATACTCAAATGGTAAAGTAATAGGAGGGTTCTACAGGAACACACAATTAGATACAAATTATAATGCAGCATTCTAAATTTAAATATTTAATGTACGTGTAAAAAATAAAGAAATATTTATAATGGGAGATTTTTATTTTCCTCACATAAATTGTAAAAAAGCATTCCAAACATCAGCAACTGAAACATGAGAGGTATGGCTAATGATTACTTTTTACTCAGGTTGTCAAGGCTCCTGACAACAAGAGCATTGATCTAGGAATGGTAACATTTTGAAGTCAAACTGCCTGAAAATCAAAACAGAGGCTATAAAGCAGTAGTCTTAATTATTTTATTTATTAGCAAGAAAGTGAGGAAATGGTGCAGCTACAAGATGAGGTATACACCTGCCATACTGAAAGAACAAATGTAGCAGTGAGATTAATTGAGATTTGTGAATTCTGGTTTGGAATTTCCCAGGTGTTATTAGTATTCCCACATTTTGGGGACTGAAAATTGATAAAAGTTGCTTTAACCGGAGCATACCACCATCTCATTCTCCTGAGGCCAATAGATGCCTCTCTATATTGATGGCTTGTTTTCCCTGAGTCAGTACATGAACAACTTCAAATGACTGGACAGACGAGGAGAAAGATTATGACAAGGTCAGACCACCGTACTCTTATCTGCTTTCAGGTTCCTTCACTTAAGAGAAGGTGGCAGCAATAAGGTAAAGAGGTAAATGCAAGAGGCTTATTTCCCCACTTACCTACACAATTCTGTTCCCACGTCTTCTAGTTCTTCTCGGGATAAGTGGGCCCCTGTCTGTCTGAGCAGTCTGATGACCTCTCTCTGTCTACCAAGAAACAGGAAGGACAACTCGAACCATCACAATACAACTCTGGTCCTTAAAAGCCTCAAAGACACACATTTAGTTATTTCACCTGAGCTTTTAGTCATTTAGCTGTATTAACTATATGCTATGGTCACTTATTGTGAATTTTAAGGACTGGCAACCATTTTCTTTACAACTCTATATTTCAGTTTTCTGCCATGTCAGAAGAAAAACACCTTTGCAATATCCCTACCACCTACCACCTCCACGGTGGTGGATTTTAAAATGAAAAAAGTTTTTCCTGCTTTAGTTAGTGTTCAGATTACATGCTCTGTGCTCCTACATGTTTTGCCATAGATAAATAAAAGTAGATGTGATTTTTTGTGGATAAATCTCCCCTTGCATCCCTTATCTACTCACACCGCAATGCTTTATTATTTTCAAAGGGAAAAATGTCTGTTACATGACTTGTACACAGGATGGATTTTTCTAACATCCAGAAACGTAATAAGAATAATGAGTTCTGAGCACTGATTTTATTATTTTTTTAACATTTACATCATAATAAACAGTAATAATTACATTAAAAGAAAAAACTTTTGTCATATGTTTTGAAATATGTTTAACAAATAATAAGAATGCAAAGTTCAAGACAATGGTGAAGGCGTAACCTTTACCAAATTTGACTAAACATTAAATTCAAATCAAGAAAAGATAATCAAAAAAATAAATTTGGAAAAGCAATCTTTTCAGATAAACTACCAGTTTCTATACAAAAATTGTATTCATTCCAGACCTCCATTAGTAAAGTTGTAGTTTACTTCTGGCTTATACAGTCCTTCATTACAACCAATCAGAAAATTGTTTTCATCTTCCTCAGCAAGAAGATTCAATAACACAAAAGTCCTGTCCTTAAATAGGCAGGTCTTTCAAGTCAATTTGTATAGTCCTTGCATATAAAAAAAGCATTGTAGCAAGAGTGTCATTTCTAATTATAAATACCACGAGTTTGAATGTATATGACTCCTGATTATGAGATGTTAACCTCAAGCTGAATATCTTAATTTAACACAGTTTTCTTTTAAGATATTATTTTAAAGTATGAACTAATGCAAAGAATACTGATTGCAATAAGTGATTATTATGCATTTTATTTTATTTTAAGATAAGCAAAACACTAAAACCTTGAGGCTTGAGTGATTACAATGCTTTTTTTTTGGTAGGCTCACACTATTTACAGAGAAGCAATGTATTTAAGATAACATACATCTTCACCTTAGATCATCATATTGTTGGATTGGGATTTGTGGCATAAGAAATTTAAAATAGCTTCATGGAAAGGAATCGCATAATAGTGTCTTAGCCAACAGAACAGTGTATACTTAAAGCAAATGTCATGAGTCATGAACTCCAAACAGTTCTTAGCACCGCATTCATAAGGGACATTAAGCAGAAAGTGCTTAACAGCTCCTAGGGCAAGCAGGGACAAGTCAAGACTGATCCTCACAGAACGTTTGTGGTTTCCAGAAGAGCATTGGAAAAAAAAGAACAACTATATTCATACAATACATTTCATGATTACAGTGGAAAATCATAAGCCTTATGAAATAAAAACTAGTGCAAAATATTTTTGTAAAAGCATAAATAACCTAGGAAAGGATCACCACAGGCTTTATTTCAATAACCAAAAATAGGCATGAACTTCTCTGATCTTTCAGCGCAGTGAACACATGATAAAGAACAGTAAAACACACCAAAGAACAGTGAAACAATAGTGCAGACAATACTTTCTGTGTTTTATCAAACAAAGTTGTAATTTGTGCCCAGGACCTATTTCATTTGTTGATTAAAGACATTTTTATGAGCAGCTTCACTTACTGGAAGAAAAAAACACATGATTTGTTTTGCCTTAGCTTGGAATTGTACACCTCACTTCTATGCTTGCTGCAGAATGGAATTCAATACCAATAAGCAGGTAAGTCTGGTTTTAAAACAGTGTCTGTACATTTACCTAGCTCTGCTGGCAGCAGCATAAGATGGAAGAAAACCTTGTTTTAACATAATGTACGAGCTGCAGAAACTGCAGGAGGAAATCGGTGGATAAAGGAATAATTCCTAAAACCTTCACACTCATGGGTGTGGTATACAAAAGAAAAATAAATCCGTAGGAACTTATCTCCCTAATGAGTCTTTCCACATACTGATGATTAATAATTTCATGATGACAGTATTTCAGTTGTTTCATCTTTCTTCTTCCATGTGTTTGCCAGTTTTCTCTGAAAGATGCCACTCATTACAACTAAATGTATAGATATCTAAAGGCATGGATGTTAGTTCATGAGTGTAGTTTGTTTTACTTCATATGCATCAAAAGGGCCATGAAAGGCAGAAGCTCAATGCAAGACATGGTCTTTCAGCTTTCATAAGCAGGTCTTGAGGACATAAAACTACCATCTTTAAGATTGCATATTTATTTTACATCACCATTATTATCACAAGTGATTCAGCGGACACTTAGTAACAGCATATACATTAAATTAATTGCAATTAACATGCACTTATTGATGCTCATTTGCAACAAGAGAGAAGCATTAAATGACAAATACGGAATGAAAACTTTTCTCCACCTTTTTTAACATTTTACCTTCCGTATTTCAATTTGTCGTTTGGTAGTAGGCGATGCATCTGGCATGTTAGCACATGTTGCAGAAGATTGACTGAGTATCACAGTCCCTTCTCATTGGTAATAACTCTTGTTGCTGTCTTTCAAGACAGAGTTAGCAATTACATCAGGAAAATTCAGAACAATAGAAGAGTCACATTCAACCTGACTCTTTGAGCCACAGAGACGGTTTCTGTGAGAGACGTCTCTCAGTCATCACCTGTCAGTACTGATATTAAATCATTAATATCAAAGGTAACAACCCATTTATACAAGGTCAACAAGGCTAAATTTGGAGAAATTTAAACTTCCTGTCCTGGTTAGACTAAGAAGGCAGATCTACAGGCAAAACTTTGCCTTTTCACTTTTCAGAGAGATCAACCTGCACTTGTAACTAAGCTGGAGATGCTTTTAAGCCACATTGAGCTTGTCTTGGAACACGTAATGGGAGTTATACTCTCATGACGTACTTTCAACAGGGAAGGAGAACATTTTAAATACACAACACATCATTCACTGACAATCCTAAATTACGAAAGACTGGTGGTATATACGAAAACCTCTACATGAAAACTCATCAGATGAGGGTCACTAATTTCCCTCCATAAAAGTGCATAACTTTGCACAACACAATTTGCCAGTGATAAATAAGACAAGGCTGTACAAATGCTTCATGATCAGGACGAAACGAAAATTGTGGAAATTGCTTGCCATAGTTTTAGATACTGAATGTGTAATTCAAAGTGATAGCATTGGTATAAAGAGATATACAACATTAAATTTTATTTGACCTAAAAAGTGGAAGAATTCACAATACACTTTATACAGTGACACGAAACCAGTGCTGCATTTGAAATTTATTTTAGTACGTACAAAGACCTATTCTACTTTTGTCCATAGGTACATCTGAAATCAGGATGCACAAAGAGCTTACATTTAAGTATTTGAACCATAGCTGACAATAAGCAACAAAACATAAACAAGAAAAGCTATCAGAAGCCAGCATGACATTGTGCTTACCCTGAGAAATGAAAAGCTTGGCACATCACCAGACAACACATCTCAAAAATGTTACATAAAAGCTGTTTAGTTTAGCAGTAGGCTGACCAGCCATCATCACTTAAGAAAAGGATCTTTTTATATGCTTAATATTGAAAAGTCTGAAAAAATGGATGTGGTTGACCATCTTTCATAAGGCTTACTGCTTCTTCTGTAATCAAGAAAATAATCATGGGCGCAATTTACTGTGTGCCAAAGTTATGGTTATACTGTGTTTAGGGGTCAGGCTGTAAAAGGCATACCGGCTTTAACTAATTTCCATGTGCCCTATGAAATTTGTCTTATGAAAGTATGACATTCATCATGAGGAAAGCACTAGTACTCTTTTTTTATCTTGAAAACACTGTGATGTTACTGTTAATTTTAGGTGAAATTAACAGTAACATCACAAATTAAAGAGGTCTGTTATACTCTCCCAATATATTTGTAGGCAGGCATTGCTACAGTCAAATTAATTATAACAAAATGACAGAAATTGATTTCTAACAATTAGCCTAATTAAGTATAATTAATTAAATGGCCTCTGAACTCCATTATTGTTTTCCCCCATGATAAACCCAGAATGAGAGTCTAAATCCCTACATGGACATTTTTCCAAATTGTAAAGCAGTACTTTGGGCAAAAATAGTTTACCCCTAACATTTTTAATGATCTCACAGCAGCTTAGTTTCATCTGGCCCCTATTTGTAGTTAATTTTTCCACTGGAGTGGGACCAACATAAAGATCACTGTGGAATTCCAAGAGAAAATTAAAATTCAGGACTTGTCCCTTTTGCCCGTAGCAAAATGACCAATTTAAACTTTTGTTCCTAGAATTTAATCTACATTATCTGTATTGTAAACTTAAGTCAAGATGCTACGTTGGGGGATTGAATAAGGCCCGAATTAAGGTGAAAAAAAGATGAGAAAAGATGCAAAATAAAGCTTTCGTTTCTCTACAAACTGAAATTTCCAAAATGCAAAATCAAAGGTAAGTTTTTAACCCATGTTGAGCAATACACCAATTTTCACTGCAGTATTGGTTTAATTTTTGAATGTGAATTTTAACATTTGTGTTTCAATGCAATTTATCATCTCAATTAATCTAGTCTGTACATTCACTAATCTCTGTAGATTCCATGGATGTAGGAAGATCATTTTGCATTTTTTACAATTAGTGGGTCTTCTAAGTGCAATATTATGCACGAACCAATAAAGTATTTTTGAAAACATCACATTTTATTTATAACCTGTACTACAGAAAGGTATTTTACATCTGATCTAATATTTTATTATTTATTGTTTAACTGATTTGAAGTTGTTAACTTGATGATGTTTGTAATAGTCATTGTCTTTGCTCCTAACCACCTTACTGTATGTGTTAAACTACTTAAGGTTAAATGAAGTTACATTGCTAAATAAAAAAATCTGTGACAGTACCTGAACCTGGTTGCATTCTTCAGAGGTGTGTCGCCATAGCGATCCTTGGTGTAAACAGTGGCTCCATGGCTCAGCAGATACTGTACTACTTTCAGGTGACCCTCACAGGCCGCAACATGAAGTGGAGTCCTACCATCATAGTCTTTGCTATTCAGGTCGCTTCCCTAAAAGAAAGTACAGCTGCAGTATTTTACCATTACACAGACCACACACAATAAAGTGATGAAGGATAATTCTAACTCTGAGAACATACAGATAACAAGGATACAAGCAAAAAAAAGTATCCTCTTGGTTTTTTGCAGTGTTTTTTCACTCTAATATCAATCGTTGTTCTAATATCGATGTGTTGAACAACCATCTTATATTATGGAAAATGTATTAAAATATGTATTATTCTACAAAAACCTATAAAAGCAACCCTCAAGTCTTTTTAAAAGAACTTACAGTGTATTTTGTGCATTTTCTCTGTCCCCCAAAATACATTTGCTCTTTCCAAATAATAGCTGAGACTTAATGATTAAAATAAACCTGTTAAAGGTTAATTAGGTTAAAGGGAAGTCATACTTGATTGAATCAGAAGAAGCATTTCTCATTAGTACATGATTAGATAACACAAATGGCAAGTTGGGTACATTAAATCACAGAAACAAATTTTACTCACTGCTACAGTAGGTGTCATTTATTGAAGGCTTGCTTTTTTGTTGCTTAAAAAGTGTTTATATTTTTTCTTGGCAGAGTTACAGACAGAATATTAACAATTTCAGATTTATCCCACTCCACTAAATACAGCATGTGCTGGGCATGTTTATAGCAGTGCACTATTTCTTTGTCTAATAATTGTAGGCCACCCAGCCATAAATCATAGATAATATCTAGGAAGCATTGTTGTTTTAGCAAGAGACAATATCTTGAACATTCTGTCTAAATATTCTTGGAATTTACACCTATCTACACCACCAGACTGAAAGTCAGTTACGCGAGAATAAAAGTTTGCATTTGTTGCCATTAGCAAATCTTCCAATTATTATGTGACTCTCTCCTTCGGAAGGTGTGAAGAGTTCACCTTCCCTCATTCAAGGAACCAAAGATGACTTTATCATCATAGCCAGTCTCTGACCTAAAAAAAGACTTGTACTCTACATACAAAGTGCACCCATGTCAAAACATGAACAAGGAATCTCTCTTGTCATCTTCTGGGTGAGCTGTGCTTCACTCAAACTGGTTTATCAGGATGAACCTGCTACACTGTAATGACAGGGAACAGCACTAGAGAAACCCAGGAGAGATACACTGAATCACAAAGTGTGCATTCTTCCTCCTCGGGCTCGTGACTGTCCGTCTCCCAGAGTGATGTCTTCAGTGAGTGGCTTTAGGAAAGAGGTCTAACAAGTCTGCTCTGTACTCAGAGCCCTTGTAAACAAAGGTGTGCACTATCTGGTTTGATTTCCTGCGTGTTTTGTTTCTCTTCTGTGACTATTTCAACTGTAATTTTCAATTTTTTGTCCCTTAACAAACAGTGAAAATTCGGACTGAATGTATCGCAGTGTAAAAATGTTTTTTGAATTTCCCCTCTACCTCACTTCACTGCATTCTACATCATACTACCTTAATCACCACATATAGATTTATTACAATTTCCATATGCTCCCATTTCTGTTTTATCACCATCCTCCATTTTCTTTTCTGCTCTCACATTAATTACAAGTGCTTTCCAGTACATGGCCATATTGTAATTAAAATTCATGTAATCATTAATTTAAACAATTTCTTCTGCTATGAAGCATTGAAGTAATTCCATTATTCCAAGGACATATTTCAGGTCTTCAAGACCTAGAAACAAAGCAAATAGGATGGATGCACACTCTTGACCACATTACAATGTATTAAAAATATACAAGCTTTTAGCGGACTTCATCCCGTATTTAATTAATTTCTGTTAGACAACACCTCATTAGCCTTGGGTGTAAAAGTATACAGTTTTAGATTTTAGATTTTATTCTGAAAAAAACATACCATAACGTATCAAAATTACCCTGTTAATTCACTGCTCTTTATCATGCTGAATGCTGTGATTCTTTAACTGTACGGTTTTATAGTAACCAATATAATGATGTGCGGGCCATCTGGGCTTAGTCACAATCCACCTCATAAAAATTTCATAAGTCAAGATTCTGCTTTGGTAAAATATGTGAATTCTAGCCAGAATGTTATTAGCCTTTTTCAGATGTGGAGCAGAAATGCAACAAATGTGAAATTTACACACTTTGTGAACATTCTCGTCATGTACCTTCTGCAGTTAATACTAGTATAACATAATGGCAGCAGGTAGCTTACCATTTCCCGAATGGCTTCCAAGGCATTTATGTCCCCAGTTTGAGCAGCAGCACAAGCCAATGAAGGCGTCAGGGCATCACGGATGGCCTCCAGCTCCTGAAGCAGAGGAGCAGTTAAGATGACAGACCTATGACCTCCAGACTCAATGATACCATTGTGATCTTTAATAAAAGCATCAATATCAGTGCGTCACAGGGGGAAATATACATACTGTACAGAAACAGAAATATTGAAAAGACAGGCGAACAGGTCTGAATGTTAATACTGGCCACATGACAAAGGGAGCATTTGGAGTTCTCTTTTGACAAAGAAGTACCAGTATCAGAATAAATTAATTTGATGCTGGAAGAAAACAGATATTGTTCACATGTTGTAATTGGGGGAAAAAACAGCCATCAGACTTTTAAAGAAGATGCTTATTTCTGTGAATTCTTTCATTGCACCTTATGGTGACCATAATCTCTATCACAACTAAAGAAGGAAATGCCCTTTGGTTTTTGCTTCGTTTTTCTTTAATACGGGTACCATAGAATGCTGGATATCTTTATCAGAAATCCACCCGGCAAGCTATAGTGGTAACAAAAACAAAATAAATAAAAGAAGACATAATATTACAAAATATTTATTAGAGACCCCCATTTACTTCTGTGCTTTTGGTTTGCTGTCCTTGTGCCATCCTGTACATGCAGTTTATTCAAAATATGCGGTAAAAATAAGTCACAACTAGTTACGAAGCAGTAAAATATACGGAACTGCTTCCTACTAGACTAGACTATGTACTGAATACTACATGTTTGGGTCTGCTGGTCTTCAGAAAACACAATTTTTTTGTTTTTTAATTAGTATCTTCTAAGATAAGCTGGAGAAATTAACTGTATTATATTTCATCTATACTTGTTGCTACATTTAACAAATGTGTTTAATGTGAGTTCACATCACTGCATTTACTAAATCCTGATATGCTCTCACAAATGTCTATGCAGAGGTCTAAAACTCATCTTAGCTACGAGCAATGGAACGAGATAAATGGACCAAATGGCCTTCTCTCAGTCGTAACATCCCATGTTCTTAAAATACCTTAAAAAAGGAAAAGAACCAGACACTCATGTAAATCGTGCTTCTCACCTCTTTGCAGCTGATGCTCAGTGACTTTGCAACGACCTGGATGAACCTGCTGTCTCTCAGTGACAACTTGGCTCCCTGAAGCGATGCAATCATCTCCCCCCTTAGGTTTTCACTCAGCATCTGAGAAACAGTGTGAATAGCCTTACGCTCATACAGAAGCATGAATACTGAGCAATATTACAGGATAACTACTGTCAAAGCACACTGTATATCAGACAGGAAAACATAGCGTATAGCCACATATAGATTTTATCATGAAAACTGATCATTAACACAGATTTAGTTTCTGGGTGAAAACGTGATCACCTTATCAGAGATAAAGCAGAGAAATGTGGACATAAGAATTTAGCACCAGTTGTTACAGGAAATTTGCTGAACATCATATCAGAGACAAAGGCTGGGCTGCAAAGTATAGATTTTCAGAAACGTAGGAAAAATCTGATTTTTATTGCCTTGATCACAGTTATTAATATTAATAAGATAATTAAAAATTAAATCTGAATAAAGTGTTTGGTCTCCAACTAAAAGCTAATTTAAATGTCTGAACCACAAAGTCCAAAGGATTTCAAGCACAGCAGATCTATGACCGCCAAAGAAGGGTTATTAGTTGGATTTAAGGAGGATATGTTTGAATACATTTTAGCCAATACAGTGAGTGTGCAGGAATTTTAAATAGTAGGCAAATATAAAAAAAAATCATCTACTACTATAAATCTTACTGGATTCTCGTCCAGGGTATCGACCCACCTTGTGACCTGCACTTCCTAAATTGGTTCTAGGTTTTCCTAATTATTGGGAATTATTATCATTCTGTTAAAGGGTAGATGGACTGTGAATCTGTAGCTTGCAATCAATAAAGGACCATTTTACAAAAGCATGAGCAACAGTATTGTTTTGCAAAATTCCAAATAAGCCATTCAATGCACAAAAGCTGCAGTATTATTTGGCCTAAGCTTTGAAAACAGTTGTGTAACTCCTATAAAGACAAGGACACACCTACATGCGTAGGCTGAGAAGTACCAAAGATCTGCACTACAGTCTGTTTTTATAGAAAATATATAAGCAAATTAAAAGCTACCCCTTCAAATGAGAATTTCAGTATGTTTCTCATATTCATACCAATAGGCTTTCTGTTAATGGTGTACATGAGCAGGTGAAAACTGTTTTAAGTGTTTACATTTATAAAGTTATAGCCTAAAAAATCATTAGAAATGTACAGTTGCTAAATGTCAGGAAACTAGAAGACTGAATTGCAGATTTCTACACCAGTGCTTTTATGATACAAATACAGAATATTGGTGTAATATTATACCAATAACAACTAAGGTGAAACAGGGAACTTTACAAATGTGAAATATTTCCGATTACTATGGTATCTGTACTTGCTGTACTGATGGTTTGTGCACTGATGCATTTTATTTAATCTAAAAAAATGTACCTTTCTTTTCTCATCCAAGCTGAGATGCTGTTTTGCCAGTACATATGACAGTTTCGCAAGGGCAGCTTCTGGTGTCATGTCACAACCTGCTATCAAGCCTGCATTGCTCAGTGCCTGTAACAAAGTTTACATATTTAAAACAACAATGGCAAAATGACATGAAAATGAAACTATGTCCTGATGAGAAACCAACCAAAAACGGCAAAACTTCTGAAAAAGTCAACTGTTACAAAGGTACTAGCCGTGTTCTTTCTTGAGTGCCTTACTGAATTCATAGGTAAGTCTAGATCTCATGTTACCATTTAAAAAAAAATGATTTTCTGGTAATGTGAAATAGTGCAATCTGGGAGATGTGCCATTTTCACGAGTGCTGCACATCTAATTTCAAGCCTACATATACAGCACTTAGTGTATGTACTGTTATAGGTCACATGTAAGGAAAATAAACGTAGTCTAGCATTAGATACCATGATGGTTATCTAATTTAAACTACTTTAAGAGTAGACATGAATAACAAGCACAACACAAGCTCACATTATTTTAGCTGTACTTTCCAGTAACCTGACTAACACCACACCTTTATTAAGGTAACCCATATGTGTATTGATCATTTCACTGGCTAGAGGCCTTTGGTAAAGTACCTACTGGACAGATTATGCAGTCTGGGATAGAGGAAGGTGTTCTGTTACCCCCAAATAATAATGGAAATCTGACTCTTGATGTCAAGAATAAGTGGGAGACATCAATATAAGTATGTAAGCAGATAAGAGATAATGGTCAAATACATAATCATCACAAATAAATTACAGACCACAAAGTATTTGCCACCAGGTACCTACAGCACAATTGCACCAGTACAAGATCTGTGTGTTGATCTCCAAGATGCCCTGGGGGCGACATGCTGAGTGTCCCTACTCTAGACAAACTAGTCAGCATATAAAGAAGCTCGATGTGACATTTTAGTTTCAGAGGCTTCAAACAATCCCCATAAGGGATTTTGGTGGGTGAGCAATCGGAGATACTGTTTTGGCTTTGCCCTTAATGGCTGAGAAATTGACAGCTTAAGGACAAGGTTGAACCTCCCACTAGGTAGAATGAAAAAAAAATCTTATTTAAAGGTAATAGTAATTCAGGCAGATGGAGGGGTACAACGTAACTGATGCAGGAAATGGGTACTTAATGCTTACACATATACTAAGATTCACATAGCTAAGGTGTACATGCCTCCTTAAAAAAACATTTAGAATTCTACCCAGTAGATACTGTATATGTGTGCAAGCAAAGATATTACATAAACTGTAAAGTGCAGCTTTTAATCTTCTAACAACATATCAGATTGCACTGGCATACCTTGCCGGTGGCATAGGACTCTGTGACTGAACCCCGTAAGCACTGTGTACAGTTGATCATGATGACACCCCTGTCTGTGGCCTTGCGGAATTCTTCTAGCAAATCGGCTCGATTGTCAGGGGCATTTCCACTGCCATATGTCTCCAGGACAATTCCTTCCATAGGGGGCTGCAAGAAGGCACGCACCTCAAGGGAGAAAACAAGATTTATTTAACCAAGGTTGCTGACATGTACCCATCCAAAAATGTGATTATATAAATTGCTGCAAATTTTGAGGTGGTGACATTGCTTTTTTGCTCTGTATCATTTTAATAAGACAGATTTGTAAAGAACCACATTCTTATTGTGATGAGAAAATGAAAATGGTTTGCATACTATTCTGTGACCCATTGAATTCATATTAACTTTCCAGAAGCCAATTTACCTCCTACAGGGTCCTGAACAAGACAGATGCTGAAGCAAATATTATCCCACAGATTTACTTAGCAGATCCATTTGTTTTGCCCTTTGACAGATCAGGCAACCAGCTACTTTTTTCACCATCAGGAATTTAAATTTGACTATTATTTTGGAATAATCATTTGGTATTGAATCCAGCTTGTTTCAAGCATCCAAACAGATCATGAAGGACTGAAGAGATGTGAACATTCTCACTGACACATACTTTGCACGAAACTGCCAAATATGTGTCAAATGAGATGACCATCAAAGGCATTTTTCCTGTTTACATCTGACATGCTATTTATACAATACCACCAACAAATAGAAAAAAAAAGTATAAGAATCCTAAACTAAGAACTTCTTAATACTCTTGTCCTACACTTGTAGACATCCAGGAAGCCTTAGGACTTTTTTTTTATTAAAGAACCCTTTGCAACTCAAAGTCCTGAACCCCAAAAGCCTTTAACCCAAAAACATAGGCAACATATAGCACATCCTAGTATTCATCTCATCATCCCAAAAGAGTAAAGAAAATTTGAATTTTTATTAAAGATGTGTAGCATTGTAGCTAAACATTTTACCTGCTATCCCGTTGGCACCATAATCTTGTTATTAGTAAGCAAACCGGTATAGATGGGTACTCATAAATGAGACAAGTTTCAAACGACATTGCATTCCCAGATGCATGCCATGCCAAACCCTCACATCGGGGAAGCTGTGAATTTCCCATAAGATAGGTGCACAACCTCCGCAGTGCCCACACATTATGGCAGCAAGATGATATACCCACATTCCAAACACACATGTACCAGCAATAGGCCCGCAGAGGAATATTACACAGTTGGAGCTTTAATAAAACAAATAATCTGTTGCCCACTGCTCTTCCATCTGTTTCTACTCCGTGTGTCTAGAGTATTAAAGTAATTCATGTGCACAATTAAGATGTGCATCCGATTCCGTTTTGGGCGATAGCTTGCATCTGGAAATTAAACGCAATTTTTACGATACATATTCATATGGCAGTCAGGTCTTCTGCAAATTGTGCCCTGGCGCTTTCATAGATCACCAGCTGGCTGGCACAAAGACATTTACTCTTAAAATCAACTTAGCAGTAAATGGTCACCACCACCTCCCCCCCGCCATGGTTTAAAATTGAAACATTCATTGTGATGGTGGTACAGAAAGAGCACCATCAATCCTGGCAGACAGGGTAGCCTATAATGCAAACTCCCCAAAGGGTGGTTCTGACTCACTGCTAAACTAAACAATCCCAGGCAAGAGATCCACACTCCAGAGGTTTCTGTGGAGAAGTAGAGATTTCTGATCATATCTAACCAATATAAAATGTGTACATATATACAGTATATGAAGGTGGGTGAAGTCCACTTTCACTCTTGGAAGACTAACCTAAAAGACATATAGAAAATAAGTTTAACTTATGAACAGCTCATTCCAGAACATGAAGTGTAAATAATGAGATATAGAGGTTGCCGTGTGCGTTCTGGTGACATAGACATAGCAGTGACAGTTGGGAAGCTGTAGAAACTGGATTAAGAAGGGGAGACTAAATTACCCACTGCTCACAGACGTTAACCTAGGACGTTTGGTTAAATTCCATGCCTAAATATCCCAGAAGGACTTGAGAAGTAAGGCTTTCACATTGACTAAGTAAGTTGTTTACCTGGAACAAAGGCCTGGCTACTAAATTACAGTTGAAGGAAATGTACATACTGTAGGAGGAAAACAACGGAAAAATAAAATTGTCTAAGGCAATTAATCATAAGACTATAAAAGCCATAAAACATGCAAAGGGATATTAAAGGAGCACAAATTCCAGCTTTGGCACTAAAGCATTCTCCCCCTTTTTAATGGCTCGCATAGTAAGTGTTTAAATTTCAATGCCAACTCCCTTGCTTTTGTTGGTAATTAGACATGCTCCATAATTCTGTCTCATTTTTCACAGCATAAGTGCTCCTAGCAAGCGTAAAACCTGCCCTGTGAACTAACATTGAATATCTCTAACCAAGCAAAAAAAACAAAAAATAAATAAGTTTTGCCTAAAGGTACTTGGTCACTGTCAATATACTTGGAAATCTAAGTACACAAACATTTTGCAGTACAAATGCTACATAAATGTTAAAATTTGCATTACTCCTGTCTTATTTCTCAGCAGATCCTTTTATTTGCCTCTTTTAAAAGAACAAGATTGTGGTTTTGGGTAAAACACTAATGCAGCATAATAATGGTCACCAGTAACAAAGTTTACTCTTTCACTATCTGAATAATCAAAGATAGGTGAGAAATAATAAAAAGTAAATATTTTCCACTGGATACACGACATCACTTCCACTAAAAGCCTGTATAAAATACGAGATACTGTGCCTTTTTATACATATAGGGTGCTACATAAATACAAGATGATTTCTATATAGAACAAAAATAAACAAGTACATAAACCCTACAACATATGAAGTAAAGATTACTTTTGGGGTTGCTAAAATCTTTATTTTCCCATATTGAGCAACTGGGGAGTCATTGACATATGCTTACAGTCTCTGCAGTGATTCCAGGGAAGAGACGCAAGAGTCCCACATTCCTGTTCATGCTTGTCTGAATGAAAAACTTGGCTGTGGTGTTGGCTCTCCAGACTGTGTCCCAGTTAACTAAACAGGATGGGGGGGAAAAAGGACAAACATTATTAGTAGTCCCATTTTTATTTCTCAGCATCTGTTTCAGAACATACTTCCAGAAACATAACTCAAGGCTGCAGGTCAGAATTATAGAGATTAAAAAATGCAGGTCTTTCAGAAACACAAAGAAGCAAGTGAAAACACAAAGTCTACTTGAATATCTCTATGAAACGTGGGTCGAGTGCAGACAATATTGCAGAGCTTCAACCTCTCCTCAGGAAAACTTGAAAATTTGAGTTATCATCAAGGGATCAGAGTTCACAAAGCAACCTTACTTTTATACATCAGTTGCAATGTTAGGAAATTCTGATCAACACAAATAAAATGTTGTCTGAAAAAACATAATTCAAAGTTTATATATGCTTCCTGAATTAATGCATTTCCAATTCTATTTGAATGGTTCTCCAATGTCTATGTTCATTGCACAACTAAAAATATGATGGGACATCTATTCTTGAAATTGTTCATCTCTTGAGTACTTATGAGAACATGTTTAGATTGACACATTATTTACATGTTTTTGAAAATGTGGAGAAGAAACTAAAATGAAAATGCTAGGATATATTGTATAGTATAAAGCGTAGCATTGAAATCAAGGGATGTTAAAGTTATACAGCACACTAATAAGGCCTCATTCAGAATACTGCATACAATTTTGGTCAACGTGTTATAGAAAAGCTAGTGCTACTCTGGAATCAACTGAAGAGAAAACATAGCATTCATGGGTTTAAGGGAACAGAATGTACTACACTGCGAAGCTGAAGAAACTGAATCTTTTTTTAAAGCTATGAACACTACAAGAGGACCTGATTCAAGTATTTATACAAGGTACTGATAAAGACCACCCAACAGATATCTCCACAATGAACAGTGAAACAAAAAGGGCATTGGTGGAAACTACACAGAAGCGCATTTAAGAAATGGCTGGGTGAGATCCTTAGATTAATTAACAACTACTTAATGGGTTGAATGGTCTCCTCTTGTTTGTAACCTCTTAGGTTCATATGTTGCATCTCAAAGGATCACTTTTTTCTATTTTTAATTCTATTAACAAATGTGGTTATGCAAAATTTCTGATACTGAATTTTAAAATGGTATGGATAGGTGTGATCTAATATATTTAACCTTTAATACAGTGCTAAAGCTTAAATGAGCTCAACACTGTCTGTAGCAATTGCTGTGAATCTCAAGACTCGCAAAATCTCAGAAAATCATTGAGCAATTTACCTGAACAAGCATGTGTTCAGCACTGTTTTATAAACTGACATGACTTATGTAAATACTATTTAAATTTGTTTTCATTATTCAACGCTTCATCCCAGTATGACAAAAAACAATGAGTTGGCTTTCCAAATGGAATGCGAAAAACTTACTGCCTACTTCCCTTACATCCGCAGTTTTATTTATGGGATTAGGTCTTATAAATCATCTGTCTCGGTAAAGCAAAATGCTAGCTTCCCTAGATCTCCCAGCTCTAAAAAGTTCATTAAATCACAAGAATTTCAAAGAATGTATCACATATTTTATGCCTGGAATACTGATGTCATATTCTTTTAATTACAGAAGACGTATAGCTAGTAGCTAGCACATTCTGCATTTACATCTGTCAAATATCTTTATACATTTAGTACCATTACGGTGGATTTTTACTTCACAGTACATTCTCATTAATTTTCTGTTTTGACTCTTTTACGCACTTGATAGGATATAGGTTACCACTTCAAGAAATGGGTTTCTTCTGCAATACTGCTGAAATGGGTATGGTCTCATTTAACGTGGTCTGCTCTCCAAATGTCAGGCTTCTTTTAGGATGATTCTCAATGTTACGTTTTTAATCTTAGAAAGCTTAGAAAAAATTATGGGACAAGTCCGCAATTTCCCAGCAAGAAATTTCCCAGAATCCGAAACAATCTGAAGAATTTGTCACAGAATGTCTGGGTTTGCGAACGAAGGTCACATTCATTCTTCAATGATAACGTCACTCTTATCCCTTATGTTCAACACTGAATTAGAGAGTGGACAGAAATCCACTGCCCCATTGCCATTTCTATCCTCTTCTTCATTCTCACACCAGACAGGAACCACAGTAAGCAGAACAGGACACATTTTGTGTTGACTAGCTTTCCTTGGTTTTAAGCGTGTTACCAAAAGCCTACGAAAACAGCATTTTTGCTTTCAAATTAAATGGTTTATTGCAAAACCAGTAACGGACATACACAAATTTTTACACTGTGACTCTACTTTTGATGAAATAAATGAGGCATTAAAAAGAATCTGAAGGAAGAATTCCTGTCTGAGGTGCGGTTGGTGAAACTAAGAAAGTATGAGACCAAACAAGAAAAGGCGCTATTAATGAGCGAAGGAGGAAACGTACAAAACTTGAAGTGCAGCACAAGGAATAACACACCACAGTAAAGGGGCTCTTTACATTTACATTGCTTTCATAGCTACGTGGCTATAGCCTTTGTAACCACACAATGATGTTTCCACTGTTATCAGCTTCGGTTCTATTTATCCATTTGAATTAAGCAGTTGTTTACACCAGATAAGTAGATTGAATTATATTGGTTTTCATGAGATCTTTACTGCAGATTTATATTTTTCACATTTCTTCATGTATTTTAAGTCTGCCAGGAAAGAATTCTTATTCCAGGATGTTTTGTGTTGTGATGTCCGTTCATATGATACTTTCTTCTTTAGTGGAAGATAAGTTTCTGCTCCTACCTCGTCTTTTTCAAAACAAAATTAGGCTTCATGAAACACACGGAACTGTTCTTTAGTATTTTTGTACTTTGTCTTTTCAATATTATTTCAGTTTCCAAAAATCATAATAAGACTAACCTTCATTTAGCAAACTAGTTAGAGCTAAACTAGTAAGAAGAATAGGTTCTTCTTCATATGTTTTTAAATATCAATTTATCACATATCACTTGTGGTTACTTGCAGGTTAACATAGCCAATTCAGGGAAACAATAGACCTAGCTAGGTAACCTGGCTAGGTTCCCATGTCTTTGGAAGGAAACCAGAACACCTAGAGAAAAACCACACGAACACTGGGAGAACAAGCAAACTCTACATAGATGGAGCCACATTCTGGGACCCAGCCCAGAACCCAAGCTGTGATGAAGTAGCGCTAAGTACCATGCCACTATACAACCTAATTAATAATATTTACTTTTTATATCAACTTCAGCATTGGCTAGTGGTGCAAGGTTAGGTGAAGAAAAGGCGTTGAAACTCCCAGCATCCACCTTTGTCACTCGGTTCCCTCTGTAGAGCTTGTGATGAAAATACAGACAGACCTGAAAGATTTGTTGAAAGTTAAAAAAAGTAAATATGATGAAACTCCAAGGTGACTTAAGTCACTGCATAAGTAATGGAGAACTGTAAAAAAGTTATTAGTATTTAGTACATCTCATAACATTATAACATTATTATAGTTCATAACATTATTATAGTGGATAAATCAATATAACTGTTTATTTTTTCTCTGCAACGTTACATGTGAAACAAAGAAGTACAGGTTCACATCGTAATTTGTTCCTATAATTCTTTTATGCATTCATTTGTTTGGGTGTTCTGCAGAAGACGTTAAATTAAAATAACGTGAAGGTTTCAGAGAAAACTGCTTCATATCCATCCATGAAATTTCATGTACAAAGGAGATTAATTGTGACAGGTACAAAACAAAGAAAATAAGAAAAAGTACATTGTCACACATTGTTCCATATTGTTTCCTTATTTTCCCAGCAAACGTTTAATGCTTTAGAGTGTGATTAGTGAAGGCTGGCAAGTGGCTTGAAGTTTAGCATCTAAGTTACTTACAGGTTTTGAGAGGAAAGCCAGACATTTTGGAAATGGCAGGAAACATAGCCACTGAGAAATTCTTAAAGCATCAGTATTGGCAAAGTATCAGGCCAGCAGTTTGGAAGAGTAAACCTCACTCATCAATCCTCTCTCTGGCCTCATCAGATACTCACAGAAGAAATTCAAATGCAACAGAGAATAAATAAATTAATACTGTTGGAAACATGTGGTTTCAGTTTGGACCCAGTCCGAGAATTTTTTTTTCTATTGTGAAATCACCAATTCCCGCCCCCCTCTCACAGAACATCACTAATTAATTCAGCTCACCTCAGCAACCTTCATTAGAGGGAAAATAATTTCTTGGACTTGCTCTCAAAACGTTTGCTGTTGGAGGTACTGACCAGTTTTCACTCCTACACTGGAGTTACCAGCTGGTGAAATTAGGCATCTCTCATTGCCAATACAGCAAGTTTATAGAATGCCCAGCAAATGTGATTTTCCCATGACAAGCCAAAGGTACTCAAGCCCACAGATGCCCAAGCAGCAATCTGCCAAGTGTGCACCATTATCTGGCAAATCTACGTGGCAGGGGGCTAATGATATAGTCAGACTCAAAAGTTTGTATCGGAACAGAAATACAAGCATTTTATATGCTGAACTCCTAGGAAGGCTCACATGTGGTATACATGGAACACAAAATATTGACAATAGTAATTATGACATACTTCATTACTTTCCCCCCCCCCACAGCTTAAAGAGTAAATACAAAAACTCTCTCCTTTTTAAATAAGTGTGACTAGTTATAAAAATTGTTCATCATTAGAATTAACCCAATGCAATTAAATAGCTCATTTGCCAGTGTGTTATTAATTTGAGTTTCTTTAACATTGTATATTACCTGCTAACAAGACTCAAATAAACTGGAAAAAGATCTACATTTAATCAGTTGTGCTGGTATTTTATCATATATAGCACATATTTAACATTACTTTGCTGAAAATGTATTCATAATAAGGATAAAACTGGATTTCTATAACTATCAAAGTTATCAATATTGAACAGCGTGTTGAGAACCAGTGTCTGTCACAGGTTATGGCCAGAATGGAAACATCACGCAGCATTCCAACAGGAGCAAAATGCAGAGGCTTTACAGTTTTTTCTGCTGTACAGAATCAACACTCACCTCAGGAATCACAAACTGTCCAGCAATCAACAGCGCCCCCAAGAGGTTGTCACGACCATCATTCCTCATCTCGTAGATAGGAACCTGAAACGTTAAAAGCAAGCTGGGCATGTAAGAACTTGAGTATTTCTCAACAACCATGACCTTTTCCTGTAGTGGGTGAAGTTAAGCACCTGTAATTCCTCCTTCCGTATTTAACAAAAACCATGATCCACTTCCTGGAGTGGATGAATTTGAACAATCATAATAATTCAGCTGTATTCAGCAGAATACAGGCATGCAGCATCCATCTAAACCGTACGGCATGTATACCAATCACCTTGGTCTGTTTGTGGAGGTGCTGAGCATTCTTTTTCATAAACCTGCACTAGGGACCTAGCACTCAGCTTAGACAGCACTGGAAATGAATGTAGTATAAGTCGCTATACAGTGCTTATGAAAGGCAAGCCCAAAGAAATGGTAGGGCAACAGTTTACATTTAAATAGCCTAGAGTCAGGCAAATGTAAATTAGTAAAATGCTGTGGACTTTTTATGGAACAAACTCAAGAATGAAACCTCAAGCAGTTTAGTGATAGGAGTACGTTACAGACCACTCCTCTAATAATTTGTTAGCAACCAAGGAAGTGAGAAAGACTGAAGGAAAGGAAGCATTGCAAAACTGTCACCACAATATTTGCACATTTAAGGAGTATTGTATGGCAGCCAGTTCTAGAGGCTGACATGGTGCCCAGGCCCTACTTACTGTAAATGAAGTGGTAAAGTAATTAATGCCAGCAGCAGCAGAATGAATTCTAATTTTTGGGGATTCAGAAATCTGGATTCAGACTGGACTGAGGTCATCAGCTGATCATTACAATGAAGAGTTCTAGGATCAGACAGATCATCCATTAATTATCCAGACAGACAGACTGTTATTGTCAGTAACTCTGTCATATTCATAAGGTACAGTACACGAGTTTCAAATAGTGCAACAGCAGCACAAGCAAGAAGGCAAAATTCACGATAGGGTCAGTATTGTTAAGTTGTACAATGCATTACTTAGACCTCACTTGTAATATTAAGTTTAGTTTAGATCACCGCACAACAAGTAAGATATTACCGTTCTATAGGCAATTCAAATGAGAATGCCTGCACTACTTTCTGGTCTATTTGAAGCAAACTCCATTAAATATTTTAAGAAATGAATTAAGCTACTAGCACTAAGCAAGATGATAACGTAAAGATGACTCATTAGTATCTATTTTTGTGTTCCACACAAATCTCAAACACGTGGTTTTATTATTTTCTTTCTCAGACTATATCTGCAATATTTGTAACTAAAACCTGAAAGGATTTTGACTTAAAGATACTGTACAAGTATATAATGGTTTTGAATAAAATCTAGCTAAAAAAAATTTAAAGGATATTTGGTAACTACAGCTAAATGGAAAAAACAACAACATCTTTGTCACAAAACTGTAAAACTAGGTGTGGGGCACGGTTAATCTGGGAGATTTGAAAGTGACACTGACCACACATTGACGTGGCTGTCTCTCCTATCTTTAATTGCATCTCTTACATAAAAACATGGATGACTCAAAATTTCTTTCAACTTAACTATGACAAGACTGAAGGCATGTATATCAGCATGCCCCATTAACTATCTAAAGCCAGTGCAGTTACCCTAACTGTAGATGTTACTCTACCTGAGCTTCAGTCTAAATTGAAGAACTTGGGGTGAATTTTGACCCAGGCCTGACATTTGACCCACATGTGAAACACAGTCAAAACATCTTTCTTCCACCTCATAATATTGCCAGACTACATCCTATGTTGTCGCTAACTGTTATTGAAAACCTGGTCAACACTTCCTGAACTGACTACTGTAATGCTCTACTTGCTGGGGTTTCTAAATCCACAATAAGCATCTCAGAATTCGGCAGCCACAATCCTGACCAGGTCTAGTGCAAACAATCACATTAACCTTACACCAGAGTCCTCCACTGGCTATCAGGTTTCATGTCAGGTTCAAAGGCCTTATGCTCACCTAAATAAAGCTCTGCATGGCTTTGCACATCAGTAGCTGTCTGAGCTATTATTGTCCTACTCCCTACCTCGCAGCCTTCAAATTCTGGTCTTCTATCTGTCCCCCTACCCTGTTTTCACTCTATGGGAGACAGGGCCATCTCCTGCTATACCCCAAAGCTCTAGAACTCTATCCCAAAGCATATCAGAGAGACACCTTGCCTGAGCGGTTTCAAATCAAGACTCAAAACATTTTTTACTCAACTGGTTACTTAATGTATTCCCTACCCCCTTCTACTACCTCCTACCATTTGCATATTCCTCTATTTTCATTTTGTTTTATTGTTGTACTGTAAAGCACTTTGAGAAACCACTTTTAAAAGTGCAATATAAGCATATTTATAAGTGTGTACATACTGTGTAGAAGCATAAATAGATCCAAATATATTGTACTATCTTCCAATCTACTGAACAAGTGAATAATACTGGAGTATTAAGGTAAACTGTAAATCTTGACAGCTGACCTTATATAACATTCATTAACTTTCATTATACCCTCCGCTTTCCAAAATTACACTTTCAAACCAGGTGCTTTCATTCTGTCAAGTTAAATATGTACATACATTACTTGAATACACATTGATCCTGCAATTTCTGGTGAAGTTCCCAGTCACTCAGAACATAATATCTAATAAGGAAATGGGGGGACAATAAGTAAATCTGTCTTACCTGGGAACCTGTCAGAATGACAGGTTTGCCTAAATGCTCACACATAAAGGACAGTGCAGATGCAGTGTATGCCATGGTATCTGTCCCATGCAAAATTACAAAGCCATCATACTCTTCGTAGTGTTTCTAGGGGAAAACAGAGAGGAAAACTGACATATAGAAAGTTTAATATACCTCAGTAAGTATTTACATATTTTAAAAATCCCATGGAAGTCAGAAATTAACTCATTAGGAATTAGTAGCATTGCCATTCAGTATATTCTTATTTTAAAAATATAGTGCATCCTCTGACAGTATTTCATAGACATGACATTGGTAAATGCATTACACGAAATATTCATCAACAGGAGATCTGTTATTAAAGTTGCAGGCTAATAATGTATATGACCACCATGGGAAACAATAAAAATTGTACATCTTGCAGGCTGCAAAAGCAGAAGCTGTTTTGTGAGATTTTGCCACATTCCTCTCTTACAGTCTAGGCAAGCCTGTCTCTATTCACTGATCTCTGAGCCATAAAGAACACACGTCATCCCTGCTCATACCACAAATGGCAAAATGGGTTAGGGCATTCACAACATAACTGTCATATTCTAATCTTGTAAAAAAAAAGTATCTGTCACAGAAATATTGTAGCATGAGGACATGCATAGTTTTGTAGAAATGTTGACATCAGGAAGAGCCCAGAGGAACAGCAGCAAGTGAGGTTCCAGGAATTCATCAGAATTCATTCATTATACAAATCATGTCAGGTTACAAAAGGTGAAGCTCGGTAGCAACCTGACACTCCATCTTGGAGCATTAGACTGGACCTCCCCATCAATTGGTCACTTGGACATCAGAAATGAGTGTATCATTTGAAATGTCAATGCTATGGTTCAATCACTGACTTCCATCCAGACCTCAAGACACCAGCAGAAAACCTTAATCCATCACTAAAGAAGAGCTGGCACCACTTCCAACTGGTAAGTTGCTTCCTGACAGCTAAACTACTAACATGAGGGTTGCTTCACCTACATTGCAAACAACAGGTTGTAATGACTTTAGAATATGATGTGTTAATCTTGGAGAGAGTTGAGACCCACAAACCTTGAAATTCTTGGCCTGTAATTAATGGAGCCATCGGGCTGTAATCTCTTGATAAAAAATGCTGTACAGTAAACAAGGGTACACTGACCTAGTCCAGCTTCCAAAATTGCAAGAGCACAAAGGTGACATAATCTTGATAATAAGAGCATATTGCTTTCATTCAGTGCATTTCTTTCTTTCTGGTTTCCTCCAGGATTGACATTCAACAGGTTTAATCACCTCATCACCTGCGTCCAATCTTTTAATAAAAAGTTATTTAGTGCTTCTGCTATAATCAAACTTTTCTTAGCAGTATCAGTCATGAATAATCAATTGATCTAAATTATGCCAAGAAACATTTCATCTATATCTCAAATCCCTATATTTTCTAGAAAAATGCATGCAGAAATAGATTGTGTTTATCTTCAAAACACTTTGAAGGATGAAGTGATAAAAGGACGTGAAAAATTACATCATTGGAGTTCTGCGGGTACCTCAATATCTTTGGCAATCTGCGCCCAGTCATCAGTGGTCATGTTACAAGAATCCAGTAAGGGAGAATATTCCAAAACTGTATAAATAATTCTCTTGTTCTGTTTTGAAAGCCTAGAGAAGGAAAAATAAATATTATATTTACAAGTGTATAGCAAATGACAACAACAATGCGCACCACGGGGCACCATATCTGGTTAAATTTGCTTAATCTGACAGTAATTGGTATGTCCGTGTCATACGGAAAGTTCTTTCATTGTCCATGGGAAAAATTTCCCATTGGTTTAATTTTGACGTGCAACAAATTTTATTACACCAAGGTGCATAATTCTCATGATTCACATAACATACATCCAGTATATACACATCTACATGCATAAATTTAGATATACAGTATATGCATACTCAAATAATCATGGAAACCAGAAAATGTGAAAATTACACATTAATGATAAACAGATTTTGTATAAGTAAGATCCAATTGGTTCTTCTTCATACCAATATTGTTAAATTGCTGCAGATGAACAATATTGCTAATCTCTCTGATGTTCCTTCTAGAAACATTAACCCCTGTAGTCGTGTCAATGCTGTCCTCAAAAATTTAACTGGATCATCTCTCATCATAAATTATATTTCTTCACTTTTGGATACTTTTCAAAGGGTGGCCATTCTTAGCCTTGTCTGTTGTGAACAGTAACAGCTGAATCCCATCTCAAAATGTTGTATACAGCACATGGAGCTGTAGTCTGTTAATAGGAGAAGCCTTTGTTAGCTAAAACTAGGCTAAAAATGTCTATGCTTTTGTCATTTCCTTACTATCTCTAGTGTTCTACATATTTATAACTTTACAAATGGTATCAATGTCTACCTTAGATTGTACCTGAGACAGCTCTGTGTTTTTGATGCCTTGCCTGAGAACTAATGACATTCCAGTTGAACCTTAATTAAAACAATGGCATGAATTTCCAGATCATATGATTGATATAATGCAGAAAACTCCCTTGTATCCTGAAGAAATAGGGGGAAGGGGTTCCAGATAAGAGGATTTTTAGGATAGATGACAATAAAGAAAACTGATACAGATTAACACCTAGCATAAAGCAAAATGACCAGGACAGCACCACAATTATAAAAAATGAGTCATGTAACAGACTAATGTAATGGTAAAAGAATTATGGTACTCAACATCACCTGACAAATCTTCAGTAACATAATGAAGTAATCCTGGGCACTTAAGTATAAATTAACATCTAAAATGAAAATTAAAATAAATCATATCACAACAGTCCTTAATTTAAGTTTTTGTACATTTATACTTAAGTGCTCTCAGGTTCTGCCTTGTCAAAGGTTCAAAGGTGAAGCGTGTTCAGCAGCTGGAGGTGGAAGAGGAGAAGGCTGAGTTGCGGAGATGTATGAGAAATAGCTTAATAATCTTTCTGATTTCAGCCTGCTTGGTGGAATGGTACTGTTGCTGGAGAAAGCCATTATTTATCACATTTAGCCTGGTGACATGTTATGCCGGCCTCGACAACAAGCGTTTTGCGAACCTTAATATGTGCGGGATTTAAATTTACGCTACCACTGAGATTTTTTTAAAGATTTTTTTTTCCTTTATTATTAATCTCTTTGATTTTTTTTGGGGGGGGGGCAGGTGTTGCTTCAGGTTTCTGGATGCATAATTATCAGATACAAGGGACTTTATTGTAGAAACAATGCCAATCCATTATTTAGTTTACCTTCCTACAAATCCTCCAAGATTTCCTTAATGTAGACATAGGATCAGATTACCATGTCAAATAAAATGGCATATTACCTCTTTTTTTAATTTTATAAAACCGTTGAATGAACATTTGGGCCTTTAGTCCTAATTAATCCATATTAGTAATTTTATCAAACATTTATAGATCCTAATGCATTACATTTAACTGGATCATATTAACATTTAGATATCAAGACTGAATGCAATCGGGTTTATCCAATGACCTTATTGTAACCAATTCAAATGAATCAACCACTCATGTTATAATTTAAATGGCACTCAAGTGTTCATCGTGGACAGTGAAATACAGATGAAGGCATGGCTCCCATAATGCATCTGCTATTTCTTGTTGATTTTCTTTTTTAGAAAGTGTTTATAGAAAAGTCACGTCATTTGCCAAACCGCTTTATACCATATGGTGTCGTGGGAAGCCGGAGCCTACCCAGCAACCAAAGAGCGCAAGGCAGGGTACACCCTGGATGGGACGCCAGTCCATCGCAGGCCAAGTGCAAGAAAAGTATTTTATAGAAATAAATATTTTGTCTTAAGAGTGTTGGCTGTTTCTTCTCTATTGATTAATATGATTCACACCTTCTGCACCGGTATAGTTTCAAGTGAGATGAGTATATTCTATATTAACCGATTTCAAATATTCCTTTTTACACAAAAATGATTAAAGGCATAATTTGCTTTAAATATTTTCCCATTCTTCTCAGTTTCCACAATTATGTCAAATATTGTATACACATTGCATTCCATAAAAAGAAGGAACACTATTTTGTACTAATATCATTGTCCTTGTAACAAGATCTGCATGCTGAAAAATCTCATCACAATTTGTGTAGTCAGATAAGGATGTCAAAGAGCATTTAATGTACAGTGTCCACAATTTGTAATGTTTTGAAACAACATGATGTAATCAATTTTGTAATATCTATACTTCCACAAAGAGACTGCAGTACATAAAATGTTAAATGGAATTTCATTAAAAAAATATATATCGATATAGATCATTAAAAAGCATGGAAGCACCTATACTAACTACAATGTTTTGTGTATGTTAATACTTACTATGGTGTTATGCATAATTCATAGTCTGCAACAGATGCATAAATAGTAAAAATACCATGGTAACTTACCATATTATTTTATGGGTTGAGAAAAAATATTTAAATTAAAAAGAAACGTTTGCAGTTTTTTCCATCAGAAACTTAATTTTGTGTTTTTCTAGTATCTCACAACCTCTTTACAGTCAACAAACCACAGTACATGTCTAACATTTTGATATATTAACTTGATTGGGTATGATTTCATCTGAATTAATGCATGGACGATACACACACCCCACTACAGCATGCTGATGAAGAACCATGCACAGTGCAAATACATGCCAAAGTCTACAATCAAGCACTTCAGTCTGAAAAACAAATTATTTTAACCTCAAATTATTAACGTCATCAAAACCCCCTGCAATATTAAAGTAAGGAAATTAACAGAGAACTTGATTCATGGGGTAGAAACCATACTGTCGTATGCTAATAGTCAAAAGCTAATGACCAGTTTTATTTTAATCACTGATTTTTTAAACTTTTTGTGATTGCTAGCATTACATGAATCCATTCCAAATAATTAATATACTATTGCCTATAAAATTATATTTTTGTAAAACTAGCTCTGGAGAATAAGAGCTTTTCTTCCCTGTAAGCACAGGTAGGTTTTGTGCAATTATATATCACACAAAACAGAAACCCAGCAGCACAAAGCTCTTCACTGGTACCAATAACCAAATGACAAGGGATAAATAAAATAAAACTACTTTAAACACTTATTTTATTTTACAGCATGTCATGATTTCTACAAAATTCTGGCTCTACTATTTGAAATGATTTAAATGAGGGAACATGGTAGCACTCGGAAATGAAAATCAATTTTGCTGACCTTCTGTTTTAACAGCAGGGTATGTTTTCAAAGCAAAAGGACAAAAATTATTCAGGTATTGGGAATTAGCCCCCATTTGGATCTTGTCTTGGTGAAAAAGCAGGCACCCGAGTGCCAGCAGATTCTTTGTCTTTGCTAGCAGGGTGGAAGCGCTAATGAGACACAGTGTTCAGATCAAATCGCTGCTCACCTCTGCTTCCGTGTCTGCTATGAATATTCATGGTTCTCTAAGTAGTGTTGAATTTGATGTTCTCCGTGCAGTGAGTAGGTCACAGTTAAGCAGCTACAAAAAGTTTTTTTTCTAAATGTTTTTTTTTTCTCCAAAAGCAGCATCTTTCTCATTAGCATAGTTCAGCATACAAACAAGAAAAGGACAACCAGTCTTTTTAGGGTTTCAATGGAGCAGCAGGGGGTACACATATAACCTCCACCCCCTCAACTCCAGTAAAAACACAGCAAGCCGAGGCCGCCGACACGCTGTTAATTAGTCGCTGCTCGCGAGACGACCCTCCAGCATATGTTGTTGATAATATTAGGGCAGGGGTGGTGGTGCAAATGGTATTCAAATCACCAATTATTTATTTACCTTCCAGTGCTGCCGCAAGTGCTTATAGTAAACGAAAGAAGTAAGGATATTTGCATACTAAGTCTGGGGCGCCGTTGCCGTGGTAGTGGGAGCGGGGGTTATTCTAAGTAGATATCGACTGCTGTGTCTTTCAATGATGGCACTAAATCCCTAGTGAATCGGGTCAATAGATTTGCATCTCACACTTTCTTCTATCTAAATGCAAAATATAACTCTATGGGTTTGCACCTGATTTAAATTAATTGTACAAGTTCCTCGCGTCTGCACAGAACATAAACTACATTACAACCTAGCTCTACTAAGTATCTTGTTCTCAGTGTAGACTCATATACCCCATTTGAAGCAATTTAACAAAGCCAGCTCTTGTCACTCAGTTCGCTCATGCAAAATATGTCTGTGATTTCTAATGTCAAATTATGACATGAATATTTGAATACCCGTACTAAGCGAATTTTAAGATATGTTATCATCATCTTGGGTCCTGATCTCAATATTTACTGATATGAATACAATAATATCTAGTCCTGAAAAGAAACAAGATTATTTTCCCCCCGCGTTTGACAGTTCATTTCATTGCCAGCAACTACTGCTGCATGCTGTATTGTTGTGCATTTGATAAATAAACTTTGATTATTGATTTGAACTTACTGTATAACTAATTTGATTTTTGGTTCTTCTACAAAGTCCAAAAGAGGTTTGTGCAAAAGTTACAGGAATGTAAAGACAATTTCTTTAAAAATTAACTATTTTTATATTCCTTGAGAGATTACAACATGAATTTCACTAAGAAGAGGCATGAAAATGTATCTATGACTTCCATGCATTTTTACAATAAAACACTTAGTTTAATATTTTTAGGTGGGAGACACTATAGTGCCATACCAATGTTGACGTGAAAAAATAAAATGGAACAGAAATGTGTCCAGTCATAAAAGTGTTGTACCTGTAAAAGGCCATTTGTGTGCCGCCACTTAATTGACAGCAGCCCTGTCTAAATTAAGTGACATGTGGCCATTATCAAGAGGCTTTGCCATTAGCAAAGAAGGCACAGTGTTAAGAGAAGAAGGTGAAGTGTACTTGTATGAACAGGACGCTGAACACATTCACTCCTACAGCATTGCCCTCTTTTAATTAGAGAAACAGTTTGGTGTCTCCTTATCTGTACCCCCTGTGTGTTTTTCTGTTCTTGGGTTGGGGCCTTCTGGCCTGCCTGGAGCAGCCTTAAGCAGACAGGACACAGTCTGCACTCCAGGCCTCCTCTCTATCTCCCCAGATTAGTATGTGCAGGCGCTTTCTCCACCCCCACGCTGTGGAAAACAGCATGGATTGTGTTATATCAGAGGATAATGCTCAGGAAGCTGCCACAGCTGCTTCTGTCCCATATGGCCAGGAAATGCTTTGCTCCTCTGTGGCTATTGTGGGTTATATCAGTGCAGACGCACATAGGGCCATAGTAGAGATCAGCAGTTTAAAAGACTCTCAACCACTTCACTGTTAACATAAGTCAGACTGTGTTCGCTGCTTTTCAATTCAAGCCTTACAAATCTGTTTTTTTTTTTACCATTTGAACATTTGCAGGAAATCAGAAAAATTCAACATGGACAGCTCTAGCATAACAGCTACTGTGTGTAATACTAAGTCTTCATACCAAGTCTGAAGTTTTTCTCCACTACAAATTTAGGGAGTTTAATAATTTGGAGGAGATACAAGTTTAACATCCAAAGACCAAATATTTTTGCCACTGAGCTCAAATCCAGCATCAAAACACTTCCCATATTGAGAATAATGGGCCTATTGGCTCTTTTGAAAAATATAAAAAAGCTGTAAAACAAAAAAATAATAACACATCTTTAGATTTGTTTTAAATCTAAAGATGTGTTATTATTTTTTTTTTGTTTTACAGCTTTTTTCGGTCACAAATCTACACAAAATCATTGAAAAAACCTCCACTCATCCTCTTGCAAAGCATTAAGGTATATCAGGTAGACACAAAGCACTGCATCTCCAAGCCAGATTTACATAACAGCAAGCACATAAAAACTACCAGTAATACAACATGACCCTTTTGTAAATCCATCATCATGGTGTACTGGACTCCTGTTAAATAAATACATTGAAAAGATTTTGTGTCAGAAAAAAAAAACACACTTTAGAATATTTTTTTCCAGCAATTGAAGTAAAACTTTACTGTGTACCTGTCAGATATTGACAGTCTGTGAACATAAAATTTGTCTTGATGTTCATTTGGGTCAAATATAAATCCCATTAAGCACTGGCAATCTATAAAAGATTTCTTAGGTAAGGAAGACAGTCTTCAGAAATCAAATATCAGAGGATATCATCTTCCATATGCTTGACACATACTGTAGGTGTTGCATTAAAAAGGAAGTTTAAAAGACTAAAAAAATAACATGCTTAAATTGGCTCACTAATTGTGAAACAGAAGATGTTTAGAAGAAAACCAACTATGAAACAGCTTCCCTAAAGGTACAAAGGGAATTCAAATGGAATGATCAATGCATATTAAGAATGGGATTCAAAGCCGCTTAATGTACAATTTTTAATTAAAGATCTTACCGCGTACTGGCTAAAGCACAGTTCTGAGTGTATTACACACATTATAAAATGGCTTTGTGCCTTTAATAAAAGGTAAATAAAATGATTAAAAACAAAATCCCAAGGTGCTCAATAATCACATTAGGAGGAAAACCACTCATTGAGGAATAAGCGGATGTCATTACATCTTAATGTTTCTCAGAAAAACTACAGTGTGGGGGTGATCAACCATGGTCCCAAAAAGCCACCATTTACGAGATTTTATAGGCCACCTTGTACTCATCATTTTTAAAATACTTCTGTTTTTATCTGTTTAATTAAGATGTTTGCAGATAATTTGAAATGAGATTACTAACAGCCTATAGCTTTTAGGGAATACAGCTGATTGTTCCTGACTTAACTGAAGCAAATAACTTTCTACTTGTATCAAAACTTTATAGAGATTTTTTATCACAAGCCTTTGCAAACTCTTGATCTAAGATTGTGGCTCTTGAGGATGATGGATGACCACCCTTCTAGTGAAATCTCCAGTGGTGATTTTGCATCTTATATAGACAGGAATTTAGCAGTTTATTTTCCATAAAGATGCCCAGTAATTACAGAACTAAAGGTTGTAAGGCAGGGGTGTCAAACTAATTTGTTATGGTGGGCCAGATTTAATTTTAATGTACTTCACATGGGCCATACGTACCATAAAATTGCAAAATACTGCAAAATACTAAGCACAACCATTATATAGTAATTATGTGCAGTGTTCTACATTTTTGGTCATGTTACAGCACCATAGCTCCCATTAAAATGTATTCAGCACCTATTGTGTCTTCACTAGTTACACATTTAGCAGAACTTTAACAATACTCACTGAATATGGGAGTTTAAAAACTTTACAAAATGAAAAAATTTAAGAGATCATAATTCTGATTATCTTACACTACATAAATATCTGTTCATCAAAATAATATAGTCAGGACATTTTGTTCAACAGTTGGCTAAAATAAATGCACAACTACATACACCCCTTACTATACAAAGGCTTGATTGCAAATTGCCAATACATTGAATAATTTGTTATTTGCAATTGCTTCCCTTTTCATATTGTTTACTTATTGATTTTTATAATTTAAAATACTCATTTTAAAGTAATGTCGGCATGTGCTTCAGAAGTTATAAATGGAAAAAAAAAGCATCACCAGCACATTCTACTTGAGTGAATGATTAAACTAACATAACTTATCAGTGAGAAACAGCTCGACTTGTTTCTCCGTAATTAGCGGAGTTTTTAACCAGGAATCATAACTGGCAAAAGACCAGATTAAAGGGATGTTCCATAACATTATAAAATAACTAAAAATGTGGAACTATTTACTACATAACTATATTAAAAAAACAATATATTCACTTCTTTAACTACTGCTATTGCTCTTTGGCAAGAACAAAACGAGCATGCCCTATTTCCACTTACTTTTCTAAAGAAAATGTCTCTTGAACCAAACCGTATTATTTGTTTCTGTTTTATTCTGTAATATAATAATAACAAGGCAATTGTTATGTTCAAAATATCCTTCTGACATCATAATCTTAAGTACAGTTTCAGATAGACCATTGGGTGGATCAGGCAATAAATTGGCTCCAAAAATTGAGTTATTTAGAGGAAGTGTGTGCGTAGGTCCCATAGTGTCAATCATTTTTTTACGCACTATTTAGGTGCGAAGACACACCCTTTTCAAACGCTATGTATGACAGCATCAAAGACAGTTACCACAATTGGTCAAAAGAAGAGAACCACAAGGGGTGTGCCTGCTTGGTGTGTTAGTTATGCACATTCAGATTAGATAAGAAATGATTCCAGGTCAATGACAGATAGTGTCTCCCATATAGGCCTATCCAATGGGGTTGGTGGGCTGGTCCCACCCACTGAACTGTACGTTTGACACCCCTGCTGTTACACTTTCAAACACAAATATGAAGGTTTAAAAACTCAGAAACAAACTGAAACATACTAAATAATGTGCTACATTGCAAGAAAAGTTTAAAATGCCTAAGACATAGGCAACCCTTCAATCATCTTAAAGAAATGAATTACTATTGACAAATTTAGTTTAATGGAAAACAGACACTGACCAGCTATTAAATAACACTTGAGGTACATATTGGGCATCCTTCCATATGCCTTCTAGTTCTGTAGTTTTGTTAATATTAATTACAGATCTAGAAAATGATACTCAATTTAGTTACTGCGTTCTTGCATAGCTAATAATGTGGAAAAAAACATTACACCAATGTAAAATAAATATGAAAATAATTCAGTGCTCATGCTGGTTTAAAAATTGGGAAAGGTCCCTTTCTTCCATATGGGAAAATTATTCAATTAAATAAAGTGTTCAGTGTAGGACAGGAGCCTTGAAAGACAAATTTGTTTTAAGGTTTACTGTTGTAAGGAGGCTTTTTTTTAAATGACTGCCTGTCTATGACCTAGCGGAAAGGTTGGTAAACAATAAGTAAAATTGAATAGATGAGAGCAGATCAGATGGCCTGAAATCTGTAAAGCCCTGTGTCCCAGAAGGAATGGAGCTAAAGAACTCTGTTTCAAAAATTAGTTTCCACCACTGGAAAACTGATAATCCGGCTTAAAGGGTCGAGAAACTTATACGTACGGCAGGACCATAGTGTTCTCCGGGGGGTCATAATAGTCATAGAGACAAGTCTGCCTGGCGTAGGTCTCGTCATGCAGGATGAGCAGCTTGCGTAAAGTCTTAACAAGTGCATTAGGTTGAGGGGCCAGCACTGCAAAGAGTGGAGAGACAGTTTAAAGATGAGTGCATTCTCCCAGACACTTAAAAAAGAGCTGATGAACTGAGTGCAGGACAGATGAAATTCTTACTAAAGCAAATGTGCAAGTAGAATATTCAAAATGATATGTGCAAAGGCTCATATACAATACATTTTCTGGCATTCACACCATACCGAATTCAATAACTCCTAAAACATTCTCTTACAATTTAATAGAAGTTACAAATATCATAGCAATGCGATATCAAAGGATAAGTGAACCTTTTGCAATGCCGCAGAAAAGATCAAGGAATTTTTGAAAATTAGAACTCAAAGAAAAACCTTACACCTATTCACGCCAAAGATGATTAGGTGCTTGTTATTGCTGATGTTATTTCTCCCCCTAGTGGAAAGAAAACTGTGGCTTGAAAAAAAAAAGATTTATGAAAGGAATTCCAGATCAAGCAGTATACGATTGCATAGTTTTTTGTTATAAATTCTGGTTTATTTCATTATACACCTATGACATGTGATCTTACACAGTTTAAATATTTATTTTTTTAATAGATTGCATCATTGTATTTAACGTTTCCTCTACCATCTAGGCTGTTAAAGAAATTCCTTCCTCTAAAAAGGGTCTACTGAGATTTTTTTTTAACAGTGGCTGCTAAACATGAAATCTGTTTTAAAAAAATCAATTCTGTCTCTATAAGTATCGATCTAGCACAAAAATACAAGACAGTAAAAGTGGTAGGACACATGTTGCTTGTTAGAATATGAAACAGAAGGAGATTATGAAGTAATATGAAACAAAAGCATGCACAACCCTAGGATTAAAATGTTGCCAAATCTAAATATAGAACTGTCCTCATGTCGTCTCTGTAGCAGCAGTTTGAAAATCAAACCATCTCACTCACAGTGCAAGTTCATTGCCAATGTCTTTTTTCCAGCACAATACATTACAAATACTCCTTTCAGGAAACAACATTTTAAAATTATATTAAGCCTTAAACCTGAGCCAGTGGTTGTCTACCTCCAGCTTTTTAATAAAAGATGTTCAGCAAACTCATCATAGTCCAAGCTTAATCTTTAGTCATTTCCATTAGGGAGATAAGGTTTCCTACAGCGATTGAAAGAAATCAACCTCAGCTGATTTAACAAAGCCAAAAAGAGGAAAATCACATTAATAAATGCACAGTCTAGTACTGTCTGAGAGGACAGTAGACCTGCATGTCATTACTTTTTTTCCTCTCTATGTATAGAAAATAGTCTACATTTAACTGTAAGAAATCCAAAAACTTAACTCTAAGGCAAAAAGAAAAAACGAATATTTGCTCATATCATAGTGATCACAAGAAAGACTACAAATGTAGTACTGTCTAAGAAAACTCTGTCAGAGAAAACAGTTTTAGGGTCATGTACCTTCGACAATTAGTGATAATTATTGTGAGCCAGACAAAGCTATTAATTACTCACAAACTCTGACAGACAGATTACAAAAGGAAATTCAAATAGTTCCATAAACAAACTATAAGTGGTCAGAATTATTATTACAATTTAACAAGAATATTTAATAACTTTACATTTTTTCATTATTTTCTTGACTGACTTTAATAATGTTTTATATATAGTTCAATCACTTTCATTATTGAACAGAATGCAAATTTTGAATTTGAATAAAAGCATTTTTATGTTTCCTCATATAATCTGAATTTGCTACTTACGTAATGTGATAAGAACTTTTTTAGCTGCCTTCAATTCTCCCTGTAAAGTTAATTTACAGGCTTAATTAAAACCCCATGAACTTTTTTCAAGCATCTTCAGCAATTTATATTAATTTCTATTAAGCCAGAAGCCATATCTCCCTGCAACTCACAACTGGCAACCCACTGAAGCTAAGCAGGTGTGAGCCTGGTCAGTACCTGGTTGA